AATGACCCCGTGAGGAGTCCCAAGGGTCATTCACAAGCGCTGCTTGCCGGGTCGCGTTCGGCCCGTCCTCGTTAGTATAGTGGTCAGTATCCCCGCCTGTCACGCGGGAGACCGGGGTTCAATTCCCCGACGGGGAGTGGCTAATTTTTTTTATTAATTAATCTGAGCTCTGCTTTTTTGTTGTTGTTTCTCTGCATGTTTGAAATAATACTGGTAGGAAGCTCCTGGTTACACCAGCCCACAGGGGATTATTGTGTCCGTCTGTCCGTCGTGCATCCAAAAATGGGTGGGGCTGGGTGTAGAGGGGAGGTTGGGGAGGGGCTGGGAGGGTGGGGAGGGGCTGGGTGGGGAGGGTGAAGAGGGGATGGGTGGGGGGTGGGAGGGGTAGGGCTGGGTAGGGCTGGGTGGGGCTGGGTGGGGAAGGTGTAGAGGGGAGGGTGGGGAGGGGCTGGGTAGGGAGGGTGGGGAGGGGCTGGGTAGAGAGGGTGGGGAGGGGCTGGGTCAGGAGGGTGGGGAGGGGCTGGGTCAGGAGGGTGGGGAGGGGCTGGGTGGGGAGGGTGAGGAGGGGTTGGGTGGGGAGGGTGGGGGGTGGGAGGGGTGGGGCTGGGTGGGGCTGGGTGGGGAGGGGCTGGTCACCCCGTGGTTCCCTTATTAAACTCAACGTTTAACCTACTCACGCCGGCTTGTGCCCGCCCTCACAGTCGGGCATATTTGCGGAATTAAGCCACGCCGCCGTTGACCCTGGCCATTGACCGAGCAACCCAACGTTCCTACCAGCTCCCTCCGCAGGAATGTGTTGGTACGTCCCACTCTGCTTCTCGTATATCTTGTTCTTACGATTTGTCGGCAAGTACTGAGCGTCTGATCCCATGCCAATGGTGTGATTGCTGTAAAAAATGCGGGTTTGGGTGTCTGAGACGGGCCTCCTCTGCGCGCCTGGCGGCCACAGTCCCCGCCGCGACCTGCAGGGGGCGCGCGCCCCGCGTGGATGGCTCGTGGGGTCACCCCCGCTGACCCCAGTTGTTACATCGCCCTCCCCAATGCGGTCACGTCGTGGAACAACTGCATCGCTAAGGGGGACAAAGCGCACTTCAGTGTGCAGCGAAGAAGGGCCATTGCTCGAAACGTCGCCTGTTATCTTTTTCTTTTAAAGCCACGCACAGTGGTATTTATGTTTGCTTCATTGCTCTGTTTTATTTAATTTAGTAAATTTGGCGACTCCGGTTGGGCCAATCTTTCAAATGTAACCAATCCTGGTCTGCTGTTGAGTTCCCACCTGGATACACAACGTAGACTCGACCACTTGAACCTGTTTGTCGAACCAGTATGTGCAACGTCGTTTTGCTCATGCTCTTTATTTTGAGCCCAACTCTGCAGCCTTTGTTCAATTCAGCGATAATTCTCTCCGTAATTCATACCCCATGGACACTCTGACTCTGACCGAAACTCATCAGGTCACTTGGTGAAGCGCTGCGTCGCTTCTGCAGCACGGGTCTCACGGCTCACCAAGTTCCCGTGTCCTCGCTCCAACCCACCAATGACCCCGTGAGGAGTCCCAAGGGTCATTCACAAGCGCTGCTTGCCGGGTCGCGTTCGGCCCGTCCTCGTTAGTATAGTGGTCAGTATCCCCGCCTGTCACGCGGGAGACCGGGGTTCAATTCCCCGACGGGGAGTGCCTATTTTTTATTATTAATCTCAGCTCTGCTTTTTTGTTGTTGTTTCTCTGCATGTTTGAAATAATACTGGTCGGAAGCTCCTGGTTACACCAGCCCACAGGGGATTATTGTGTCCGTCTGTCCGTCGTGCATCCAAAAATGTGTGGGGCTGGGTGGAGAGGGGAGGGTGGGGAGGGGCTGGGTGGGGAGGGCCTGGGTGGGGAGGGTGGGGAGGGCCTGGGTGGGGAGGGTGGGGAGGGGCTGGGTGGGGAGGGTGGGGAGGGGCTGGGTGGGGAGGGTGGGGAGGGGCTGGGTGGGGAGGGGCTGGGTGGGGAGGGTGGGGAGGGCCTGGGTGGGGAGGGGCTGGGTGGGGAGGGTGGGGAGGGGCTGGGTGGGGAGGGTGGGGAGGGGCTGGGTGGGGAGGGTGGGGAGGGGCTGGGGTGGGGAGGGTGGGGAGGGGCTGGGCTGGGTGGGGAGGGTGGGGAGGGGCTGGTCACCCCGTGGTGCCCTTATAAAAATAACGTTGTTTCTCTGCATGTTTGAAATAATACTGGTAGGAAGCTCCTGGTTACACCAACCCACAGGGGATTATTGTGTCCATCCATCCGTCGTAGCATCCAAAAATGTGTGGGGCTGGGTGGAGAGGGGAGGGTGGGGAGGGGCTGGGTGGGGAGGGTGGGGAGGGTGGGGAGGGTGGGGAGGGGAGGGAGGGGCTGGGTGGGGAGGGTGGGGAGGGGCTGGGTGGGGAGGGTGGGGGATGGGAGGGGTGGGGCTGTGTGGGGAGGGGCTGGTCACCCCGTGGTGCCCTTATAAAAATCAACGATATTTATGCTACACACATTCCAGATCGCAGGTTCCCAGTTTTCCCAAATTCAACCGATGACCCCGTGAGGAGCCTCAAGGTTCACGACCTCCCGTATACCGGGCGAGGAAGTTAACATCTCGCCAGATCGGCGCCCCACCTCGCCCCAGACCCCGGGCAGGAGCACCGCGGCACAGGCTGCCAACTCGGGGGGTTTTGCAGCACGTGTCCTGTGCTCCAGGGTCAATCCGTGAACGACCCCGTGAGTCTCAATCGTCATTCACAAGCGCTGCTTGCCGGGTCGCGTTCGGCCCGTCCTCGTTAGTATAGTGGTCAGTATCCCCGCCTGTCACGCGGGAGGCCGGGGTTCAATTCCCCGACGGGGAGTGCCAATTTTTTTTTTCATTAATCTCAGCTCTGCTTTTTTGTTGTTGTTTCTGTGCATGTTTGACATAATGGTACGCCCCACTCTGCTTCTCGTATGCGTCTTTATCTTACGATTTGTCGGCAAGTACTGAGCGTCTGATTCGATGCCAATGATCTGATTGCTGTAATAAATGCGGGTTTGGGTGTCTGAGACGGGCCTCCTCTGCGCGCCTGGCGGCCACAGTCCCCGCCTCGGCCTGCAGGGGGCGCGCGCCCCGCGTGGATGGCTCGTGGGGTCACCCCCGCTGACCCCAGTTGTTACATCGCCCTCCCCAATGCGGTCACGTCGTGGAACAACTGAATCGCTCAGGAGGACAAAGCGCACTTCAGTGTGCAGCGAAGAAGGGCCATTGCTCGAAACGTCGCCTGTTATCTTCTTCTTTTAAAGCCACGCACAGTGGTATTTATATTTGATTCATTGCTCTGTTTTATTTAATTTGTTTTCCATTTGTCATTTTGGCGAATCTGGTTGGGCCAATCTTTCAAATGTAACCAATCCCGGTCTGCTGTTGAGTTCCCACCTGGATACACAACGTAAACTCGACCACTTGAACCTGTTTGTCGAACCAGTATGTGCAACGTCGTTTTGCTCATGCTCTATTTAGTTTGAGCCCAACTCTGCAGCATGTGTTCAATTCAGCGATAATTTTCTCCGTAATTCATACCCCATGGACACTCTGACTCTGACCTAAACTCATCAGGTCACGGCTCACCAAGTTCCCGTGTCCTCGCTCCAACCCACCAATGACCCCGTGAGGAGTCCCAAGGGTCATTCACAAGCGCTGCTTGCCGGGTCGCGTTCGGCCCGTCCTCGTTAGTATAGTGGTCAGTATCCCCGCCTGTCACGCGGGAGACCGGGGTTCAATTCCCCGACGGGGAGTGCCTAATTTTTGTTATTCATCTCTGCTCTTCTTCACGTCTGGGTTCCGATCTTAAGGACCTATGAATAATCATTAAGCGTCTGATCGATGCTATTTTACTGATTGCTGTAAATGAGTGCGGTTTTGAGTACCTAAGACGGCCGTCCTCCGCGCGCCTGGCGGCCACAGTCCCCTCCGCGGCCTGCAGGGGGCGCCCCAGGGTGGAAGCGAGGTCACTCAGCAATGGCCCTTTCTTGTGGGTCGCGAGGTCATGTAATTCACATTTTGTTTCCTTCTGCAAACGTCGGTACTGGTGAAATGCCTCCAACGTGGTGGTTGATATTCTCCCACTCCGAGAAGGCCGTGTGGCTGATGGGATGAGTATGAATATTTAGTATTTGGAGGGGACAGATGTGTGAAGGAGGAGACGTATTGTTTGCTGATTTATTTTGTTACATTCATCAAAAACGACAACGCTGATGATTATATTGTGGCGTGTATCACATCGTGGGGAAGTATGGTCAAACATCCCCCCATGACCGGCGTGGGGGGGGGACCTTCATCCAGCAGTGGATTGACAAAGGGGGCTGTTGGTGTTTTAGTTTGGATATCTGGGACTTAATGGGAACATTCACCGAGATGGCGAACCCAGCACACCACATCCAGTATGCAGGGGCACACTGCACGTTAGTCGAAATGCAGGTCGCGTGTGGTGGGGTAAAGTGTGGGTACCCCCACCTCTTCCAAGTCGTCTGGTCAGCGTGGAAGAGTAGGCCAAATGCCCTCGAGAGGGGCTCTCGAGAGCTCTTGCTCCCGGAGACCCTTCTGCCAGCGGCGGGCTGTCGTTGCAATTGGAGTTGGCCAAATATCCAACCATGGGATCGCAGAGCTTTGGCAAATTGTTGGCAGCGCCGGTTCTGGCTGCATTTCTGCTTGTCTCTAGCTTCTCGCGCCTCTGTGTGAAATCTGTGCAGCGCGATAATTCTGCTGCAGCGATTTGAGATTACATTTCCACGAATTACGTCGTTATCTACAAATAAAGCATGATTGTCATCATTGTAAACCTTCACCTCTTATAGACACGCATTGGCAACCTCACTCAGAGCCGTGCTGTCCCCCTGTGCCCTCCTGTCCCCGCTCTTTCCTGTCGCACTTGCCCCCCCTGTCCCCGTGCCCCCCCGTCCCACCTGTCCCGTGCCCCCTTCCCGTCCTCCTGTCCGCGTGCCCCCCTCCCGTCCTCCTGTCCGCGTGCCCCAGGCGAGCAGGCCGCTCTGGGGATGTTCCCGCTGGCGCTGCTGGAGAGGGGCTTCTCGACCCGCGAGGTGGCACTCTGGGGGAGCTTGGTCGGCGTGGCGATCTCCATGGCGGGCTCGGCGCTGGGGGGCCCGCTCTGTGACCGCTACAGGTGCCCGTCACAGCTCCAGGGCTGTGTTTGTGGATTGGCGTACACTCTGTGCAGGGAATATACAAGCGAGGCGGTCAGGTTGCTCGATGACACCCAACGCTCACTCATTCACTGCTGTCACTCTTTGCGAGCATGTATCGGGGGCGACGGTGCGGTGGGGCACCTTTGCCGTTGTTTTGTGCGCGTGTGTGCAGCACGTGGGGGCTCCTGCGGGCTGCCCTGGCTGCGCGCCTCGTGCCTCTGCTCACGCAGACGTTGCTGCTGAGCCTGCAGCCCACGGGGGGGCCACTCGTCAAAGGTGGCCACCTCCCTCACCCCACTCCCCCACCTCCCATCTCCCCCCGCGACGAAGTGGCAGTCACCATAGCGATTTTGCCAGGCTAGGTGCACCTTGTGGCCAAAGTGAAGTTGCAAAGGCTCGCTGACAGGGGGTCACAAGACCGACTGAGATGATTCACCACCTGTGCTCCTCACCGTGCCAACTCGCTGCTCTTTACTTCCCGTCGCTCCTCTGCCCTCCGCTCTTGCCGGAGGGCGATGGCCTCCAGCTGCTCAGTAGCGTCCTTCACGAGCTTCCCCCCTTCACTCCCCAAGTTTTATAATAATAATGAAATTTTTTTGCTTTTCATCAAGGATCTCAAAGCGTTGTACAGGACACAGCAGCCGACACTCGGCATCAAAATAATGTTATAAATACATTTTAAAAATCATCTAGTAAATTAACAAAAATTGTATCTAACTATTAGACAACAATAGAGAGCTTACTTGCATATCTGTACCTAACTATTTTTTTCTGGCGCCTGGGGTTTTTTCCGATTTGCCGGTGTTTCGTAAACGACCATTAAACACCTCGTTTGTTAGTTGTGCAATATTCCTCAAGGACCTTGCACTCCTTCTCTGCCGTATTCACGTGTTAGCCGCTTGTTTTTGTTGCTGCTGTGCTCACGCACCACGGAGCTGCCGTGTACAATAGCCGGCCAACTGACTCAACGACACCATCCGTAGTCTTTGGTTCTTTCGGTAAAGTCACGTAGGTGTAAAATAAAATAAATTAAATCAAGACGTTTCGATTGCAGTACAAGCAATCGAAACGTCGTTAGTTAATTTATTTTATTTTATACCTACGTGACTTTACCGAAAGAACCAGAGTATGGATCCCTGCAGTCACGAAAACTTCAAATCTAGATTGGCACCATCCGTGTCACAAATCAAATTAAAATCCTCCACAGAGGCCGATCTTGACACGGCTGGCACCAGTCATCAGCCTCACGGCCCCCTCCCTCTTCTATTCCCCTGCCTCCACCCACCATGTTCACAACATCGAGAGACAATTCACGTCCACATATCTGTCCCTTCACATAAAAAAGAACCATTGAAGTATATATAGTTTTTACACATTCCATCAGCCACACGGCCTTCCTTCTGGGAGTGCATAGTCCCAGCAGCACGAGTTCAAGACTGAGCTAAGCTCTCGACCGGTTTCGACATCCAGCGTCTCACCGCCATAAACCTCCTCCACACTGAGTTAGCAGGAGCTTGCGCCCTTTGACCTATAATCGGCCGTCCTGGAAAACAATAGCGGTGGCGGTGGGCGACGTCTCGGTGATGTTGAGACACGACACGAGTTTGTATGTCTTTGTATGTTGAACTTCTTCCGCACCGGTGCATAGCCAACCGTGATCCGCAGGCTACACATTCCAGTGGCTTCCTAATGTCGGAAGAACGTTCCAGACAGCCACAGAAGCACATCCGAAAGCGTGCAATGCAGTGGCCGTCTTCGTTCGATGGCCAGCCAAAAGCGTCTGCAAGGATGACCGGAGTTTGGTTTATGATCCTTGACGAGATCAGCAAGGTATTGGGGTCAATTTCTGGCAAGCGCTTTGTGTGTGATGAGTGCGACCTTGTAATGTACACGACCACACTTCACCTTGCCGGTCAGAGTGAGTTGGTGAAGGCAGGGGAGCATAGACGTGGGTGTATAGTATAGTATAATCGTTTTTTTCTACAACTGGCCTCTGATGCTCTCCACACGTGACACATTCAAACATTGTACAACTATAACTTAATTTATGCAACCAGGAAAGCCGCCTGAAGCCTCACGACTGTTTTAAGAGTTTACCGCATTGACAGGTTTGGCCGGTTCCCTCTTGGTGAATGTGGGGGGGGGGGACCCAATCTTCCATGCACACGAGGGGGGTAACGCTCAAAAGTCCCTACAGATGGGTTCGGGAACCCATCCTTGCTGCCACTGCCATCTCGTGGCGAGGGTCAAGCTGGCGTCGTGGTGTTGCGTTGTGCAGGCCTCGCCGTGATCTGCATTCTGCTGCAGCACCTGCTCGGAGGCCTCGTCACGACACTCACCTTCTCGCTCATGATGCGCTGTTCGCAGAGGGCGCCTCCTCACCTGCAGGTGAGCGGCATGGCGAGTGAGGGTACAGCCGGCTCAGCGCTCACCGGGGGCCTGCGGATGGAACAGGTCCAGGTCCCAAGCCACGAAGAGAACTGGGAAATTGAACCAAGAGGGTCCAATTTTCCAGTTCCGCCACTGGGTCTCGACATGAAGTCCGTGGGCCCCTACGTCAGTCTGTGGGTCTCTATGTGAGTCCGTGGGCCTCTGTGAGAGTCAGTGGCTCAATGTGTCTCCATGTCCCTTTGGGTGTTTGTGTCTATATGCAAGTCTGTGGAGCTCCATGTAGGTCTGTGCGTCTCTGTGAAGGGACGGATGTCGACAGTGGCGTAGCTATCGGGTGTGCAGGCCGTGCACACTTGGAGGGGCTCAGACAGCTGGGCTGAAATGACAGGACCCCCCCCCCCCCCCACTTAATTCCTTGCACCACAGCCCATCCTAACCTAGCCGCCATGTCCCTCCGTCACGATACAATGAATTGTCACACTTCACCTTGAATGCACCCCGATTTCGTCATCTCGGAAGCTGTGCAGGGTTGAGTCCGGATAGTGCTTGTATGGGCGACTGGTTAGTGCTTGTAACGTTTTGAGCTGCCCATCGGATTCCTCCAGCATACATAGATATTCTGATTCCGACAGCCACCACCAACGTGGTCACTTAAGCTGCTGCGGGTCTATGATGTGATCAGCAGAGGGTAAAGTGTGGGCCCCAGACCCCAGTGATCCGTGACGGTCCTTCAAGTTGATCCAGAAATAATGACAATACCTTTTGTTTCGGACATTAATTCATATTATACATATATTTAATAAAAAAATAAAGTTAGGTAAATTAACCTGATTAAACTACCTGAAACATAAAATCTAAATGCCCCCCCCCCTAAAAAACCTTATGGCTGCGTGAAAAAATATTAAATGTTCCGGTAATATGAATCATTTTCAGTTATTCATATATAGAGAGACGAGTGAATGTGTTTTGTTACCAGGGGTTGGGAGCTGTGTGGTGCGCGGAAATATTAGCATCGGCCGAGTGGTCTGCGGGCCAAAAAAGTTTGAGAAACACTGCTCTGTCCATCTCGCTCCACGCCGTCACAAACTCGTACGGCCTCGTACGGCACGGCGAGGCCCTCGTCCAGCAGTGGATTGTCTAAAGCAGGGCTCCCCAACCCCCGAGTCGCGGACCGGTACCGGTCCGTGGCCTGTTAGGGACCGGGCCGCACAGCAGCAGGAGGTGAGGGCGGTGAGTCCGCGCGTGGCCCGCCCACGATTTTATTATTCACCACTTCCATCCGCGCCTCTTTCCCGCACTGCGCACTTGTCTCAGTCACAGTGTTGGTAAGCCCACAAGCTACTAAACCCCTAGTAGCTAAAATGAGTAAAAAACAAACGTCGCTGGAGAGCTTCTTTGAAAAGGGGGAAAGACCAAATGATGACCCCCCCGGTCCGTGAAAAATTGTCTTCCACGATACCGGTCCCTGGTGCCAGAAAGGTTGGGGACCGCTGCTCTAAAGGGCTGTGCACGCACAATGCGTGCACACCGTTCTAGTTACGCACGGAACGAGCTAAACCCGTACAAAGGTGACAGAAACAAACAAAACACGAACGATGCAAATGAGACGTTCACATAACCAGGCCAAACAAACCTCTTTGAATTAAACAACGAACCACCACCCCACAAACAAGCCTCGTGGCTGTGAGAGCGACGGTGTGGGGGGGGCAGCCGTGGGAATGTCACGGAGTAAGTGGGCCCCACGGGCAGCGTGACCTCATCCACCGGCCACGCCTGGCCGTGGTGGTGGCCGTGGTGTGGTGGTGGCGGCCTGCAGGGGCCTTGAGACAGTGCACTTTCCGTGTGAGGTGGGGGGGGAGCTGGGAGTGGGGGAGGGTGGGTAGTGAGACAACAAGTTTGTGACATTTCACAAGAAATTCGGACCAAAGTTATAGACCCAGTCATACAAGTTCTCGGGCTGGGTGCTTTCGCGCTTGGCTTCTCGCCAGGTATTTTCCGGGTCGCTGTGTCGACGCGAGTGGGTGCTACACGACAGTCGTGGTAGTCACAGCCCACAGCGAGGGCTATGTTGGATGTGGTGTGCCGGGTATGGACATATTTTCCCGATCACTCATTTGACAATTTCCCCATTTGCAGGAACGCGAAAGAAAATCGAATGGCACGTTTGCCAACGGTATTACTTGACTTAATTGGCTGGTTGTGGGTTGTAGTTCTATTTTTACATCATACCTACACGGTAGAACCCTAAAACAACTCATTATGAATCATGTTCTATTACGTGCATCCGCCTCGACTTGAAAAGCACAGTAGAGCATATACCCGTGTTTAAACATCTCAATATGAGCCGTGTCCTTTCTCAAAGACATCCGCAATCATAGCCATCCTTATGTAATGGGTTAGATTGAGGTGCACACTCAACTTGGAGGCAACACTATTTATTAACAACGTAACAGACAACTCGAACACTATATATAAGGTGGTGACCACCGTTGCTTATGTAACTAACACTCGGGGGAGATACTATAACGTGACCAGGGCAGGTGAACAGGCTGCCTGGTCACGGACGAAGATCGGAGACTCGAGGAGCGCTCTCTCTCCGCGCCCCTCTTATACCTGCCGCGGCCTGGCCGGCTCCGCCCTCGGCCACGCCCCCTTCCCGATCCTTCGGGAAGGTCCGGGCCCCTTACCACGTGACCACCAAGCTCCCCCCTGGGGCCCCTGGCCCCCCTTCGTCCGGTCACGTGCCCTATGGGTTCACGCAGAGTGTCACGGCCTGACGTGACCTCAGTGACACCCCACCTACAGTACCTGTATAGGCCCAACACAGTAGTGACGTCATGTCACTACACCTGTATAGTCCCAACACAGTAGTGACGTCATATGTCACCACACTTATATTCAGCTGTCACTCAAGAACCTTGCAATGGAAACTCCCGATTAAATCCAGTCGCCACTATTTTTGTCCTGTACACTATTTAAGCATGGTGGTGTGACTAATTTTCACGCATCCACCTTCAACCTCAGTGCCCTGCGAGTCACATATGCGACGTTGTACTAACTGGCCACATGCCACCTTCCCAAGACTTCGGTTCTTTACGGAGAGGCCGTGTGGGGTCGGCTGGAGGTCATGGGCTGGGTGACTAATAGTGTTTTATGAGGACGCTGGAAGGAACCCGTACCAACAATAACAACAAATGGTTTATAGCTCTCCGCCAATAGACTGGTGGATGAGGGCCTCCCCACGCAGTACCGGTCACGTGAGTTTGTTTAACTGTGCTACACCATGCTGGTCAGTGCGGGTTGGTGAAGGGGGTATGGGACCCCAGCAGCGTCAAAGAGGGGGGTGGGGGGGCTGTATCGACACACAACGTGGAGTGGACAGCACTGCCTTCTGTATGTCCATCCCACCCCCCTCATTACCCGCACCGCCTCTCCCTGACGCAGGCGACGCACTACAGCTTCCTGGCGCTGCTGGAGCTCCTGGGGAAGCTGTCGCTGGGCACGGTGTCGGGCCTGCTGCTGGACTCGCTCGGGCTGGGCCCGGCCTTCTCCCTCTTCCTGGCCCTCTCGTCGCTCGCGTTCGCGTACACGTGGTGCTCCGCGCCCCCGCACTGACCCAGCAAGGGCCATGCTATAAGGCTAAGGGCCATGCTATAAGGCTAAGGGGTCAATTGCTTTACATGGCCAATAAAAGTGATTTTTTAAAAATTATTTCGCAAAGTTTAAAATGTTATCGCATGATAACATCAGTCACGTAATGTTATGGGTACTGCTAAAGTTGTATCCACCTCGGATAAATCGCAAGACTGATTTTGGCACCATGAAACCGCAAACATAATTCAGAACCTGGCACCACAACATTCAGTGTCGCTTTCGCTGTGGTTGGGGCAACCAGTCTTCTTCTTTCGTATGTCTGATGTAGATGCAGAGAAACAACTACAATTTCAAACTCAGGTGGCCAAACCAGATATCCGCGTCAGGAGCACGGGAGTGTAACGCTGCGATGTCTCCTTTATATTTGTGGATCTGGCATTGCGTCATTATATATTGTATGGTCTGTTCTGGATGACCACAGTCGCAACTTGTCACGTATGTACACCTCCGGTTTACTGGTGACCCGGATAATATTCAGTGCGATTAAGCCCTAGTGGCCACGGGAGGCTGAGAGGTGTGTTTTTGTGTCCCAATGGGGCCCGTTATCGGCCAAAGTAGATTTCAGACAACAAGGACGATGCTTCGTATTTATGTTGAACTTCTTTTGCACCGTACGTAGACAGCCGTGCTAATCGGAGGTGCGTGGTAATGGGAGTGCCCAGTGACTGCTGTCATCACTCGACTGATGTTCGCCGTTTTTTTAGAGCTTTCAAGGACCACGCAATTAACAAAACCTTCAATTAAACCCTTCGGCAAACGGACAGTGGCTTGTTGATGAGTGGCGTGAGGGTTGTGAGTCAACACTGCAGCGTGACGACAATTTACCCAAGATCCACAGAGCATCACGGCCAACGCCGTCGATGACCCAACACCTCGCCACCAGTTTTTTCAAATATGTCCCACGATGAGCTATTGGGCAACAGTTTAACACGAAGGCTTTCGCGACCAATGTTATCCATAGTGCAGTTTTTTTTGGGTTAGATCGCGTAAATTTAAACACAACCTTTATTATTGGGCCACAGACAACCCCTTCAATAAACACAGTATGTACTGTTACATAAACAGTGAAAGTAAATATAATTAAACTAGCCTTTTGCCCGTCCAGGGACGGGTGTGTTTCATTAAATCTGAAACTTGCAAGCGAAAGGCAGACCGTAACGTGATTTTGCATTAATTCGTGTGCACTTAGTAAGGGCGCGGTGACACAGACTTATTTCATTTTAAGGTTATAATCCCTTGTTCATCATGACGTCCTTTTTACTTTGATGTCTCAACAGCAGCGTCACGGAGACCACGTGATGACGTGAGGGTTCTGCCTTTGTAGTGGGGGCTGTGAGTTGACGCCGAGGGGGGGGGGGAGGCGCCTCGCCCCCCCCCCCATGTGGAGTGACGTCACCCGCTAATGATTATTAATGAGGGGGGCTGTTCGATGTTTAGTGACGTCACCCGCTAATGATTATTAATGAGGGGGGCTGTTCGATGTTTAGTGACGTCACCTGCTCATGATTATTAATGAGGGGGGCTGATCGATGTTTAGTGACGTCACCTGCTCATGATTATTAATGAGGGGGGCTGTTCGATGTTGAGTGACGTCACCTGCTCATGATTATTAATGAGGGGGGCTGTTCGATGTTGAGTGACGTCACCTGCTCATGATTATTAATGAGGAGGGCTGTTCGATGTTTAGTGACGTCGATGTTGAGTGACGTCACCTGCTCATGATTATTAATGAGGGGGGCTGTTCGATGTTGAGTGACGTCACCTGCTCATGATTATTAATGAGGAGGGCTGTTCGATGTTTAGTGACGTCACCTGCTCATGATTATTAATGAGGGGGGCTGTTCGATGTTTAGTGACGTCACCTGCTCATGATTATTAATGAGGGGGGCTGTTCGATGTTTAGTGACGTCACCTTGTATTGATTATTAATGAGGGGGGCTGTTCGACGTGGAGTGACGTCACGCGCGGGACACAGACATTCTTGGCTCATTCTAGATTTGAAGCTTTCGTGACTGCAAGGACTCACACTCTTAGTTCTTTCGGTAAAGTCATGTAGGTAAACAATGAAATTAAGATTTGCTGCATGAAGTGATGCAGCAAATCTGGCTGTGACGGTCCCACCTGATGACGGAGACTTGTGTTGCCTCCGAAACGTCGTGATTTTTTTTTATTGTTTTATTTTCATTAATTTTAATTTAATTTTTTACCTACGTGACTTTACCGAAATAACTAAGAGTATATTCTTGGCTCAGTAAATACTGCTCGGGTTGGCCCGGACTCCCGCGATGACGTCATCGGTACGTTGACGTCATCGTGTACCCCTTCCCGCCAAACGCAATTGCGTCACACACCTCCGCTCAACGCGATTGCGTCATCGTGATCAGCATTGCGCGATTGCGTCACCGCGCCCCGTCGGTGACGTCACCCCGCAAGGGGGGGGTGGGGTGTTGGGGGGTCACTCCCTGCCTGCCGCGGCGTTCAATAACCCGCGGCTCCCCCCCCCCGCACTAGTTGTGCGTGATGACGTCGGCACGCGCGACGCAGTGACGAAGGCCATCGTGCGCGGTGACGTCGGCAGGGCGGGGCGCCTCGCCGAACGCAACAGGTAAAGGAGGAGCGAGGAGGCCCCGCGCGGCCACCCGAAGTTTCTTTTTGTTCCGCGAGGCAAGACGCTCGCTCGTCGCGTCCCGCCCTCGACAGCTTCTTCCTTCTCCCCGAGCGACATTCCCCGGCCGCCGCCGTCGCCGCCGCCGTCGCGAGGTGAGGGCCGCTCGCTTCGGAGAGGCCTTTGGGCCGAGAGATATTTATTGGGGGGGGGGGGGGGGGGGGTTTGAAAAGTTTCCGCCGCTTCGAGGCGAGTCGGGGAACAAGTGAGGCGGGTACAGTGCGGGGCTGCAGGCCCCAGCGGATTCCCCAGCGCGGATGCGCGCGGCGCGGGGCCCGGCGCCTCCTGATTGGCCGAGGGCGCGCGCGAGGTGGCCGGGCCCGCCCGCCTGATTGGCCGAGGGCGCGCGCTCTGTGCTCGCGGCCCCCCCCTCCACCCCGCGCGCGCGCGCGCGAGCGCAGTGGGGAATTTAGAGCGAGGGGCGGTGGAGGCCGTGTGGAGGGGGGGGCGAGCCGGGGGGCTCGTGCCCAGATTCACCTGGGGCTTAGGCCCCGCCCCTCCCCCAACGTAGGTCCCACCCCCAACGTAGGCCCCACCCCCAACGTAGGCCCCACCCCTCACCTTGGCTGGGCCCCAACCACCACCCCTCCCCCCACCACTCCGCGCTCTTCCTCCCCACCTGGGCAGGGCCCCGCCCCTCGTCCCCTTCACCTGGGCAGGGCCCCGCCCCTCGTCCCCTTCACCTGGGCCGTGCCCCGCCCCTCGTCCTCCACACCCCGGCTGGGCCCACCCTCGGGACGAGGCGTTCACCCCCCGACGCTGCTGGGATCGCAGGACGCCCGAGTTCGCCAAAGTTACCTCCGAATCCACGCTCTTCTTGAGCTTTGTCGAGCACGCGTGCTCAGGCCCGTGGAGAACCCCCACCTACCTCCCTACCTACCTCCCCACCTACCCACCTTGCCTTGATTACTCCGGCGAGGAGGGACGGGGAGAGAGCGGCGAGGCAGAGGGATCAGCGCTCGCAGGTGCGTGGCTGTGGAACTTGGTGGTGGTGGTGGCGGAGGGTTTCCTTGGGGGGGGGTCTCTGTGGGGCACCTGAGGGTCCCATGGCATCTCTGATTGTCCCCGAGGGTGTCTATGAGTTCCTCAGTGTCCATTGGGGTCTCTACGAGTCTCGTGAAACTTTAGAGGTTCCATTGGGTTATCTGGGATTTTAGGGTTCTTAAGTTTCCTTTGGTTACTTGTCAGCTGTAAGACTAATGGATTATTGGGGTTTGTTGGAGATCTTTGTGGTCTACCTTTGGTCTTTATGGGTTATGTGTTGTCTATATGGCGTATCTATACGCTGTTTATGGTTATCTATGGGTTATTCTGGGTCTATATGGGGTGTCTGTCGTCTCTAGGAGTTATTTGGAGTCTCTTAAAGGTGTTTTGGTGGCTCTGAGTTATCTTGAGTTTGTAGACCTTTCCAGTAGTCTGAGTTCTTATGGCTTCATAGTTTCCTTTGGGCATTGGAGGGGTTTGTAAATATCCCTTGATGGACTTGCTGTGAGTTGGGGTGCCAAGGGGGGTCCCTTTGAGTCGTATTTAAATCCACTGTTAGTGTTAGCGTTTCTTGATTTTTGGGTCCTCTCTGGTTTTCTTCGTGTGGGCCTGGGTGCACGTGGTGATGCTGAGAGAGGGATGGAGGTGGGGGGGATATGAGGGAAGGGGGTCTGGCTTCAGGCGCCACTGGTTCATCCCCGCACTGTCAGTCATCATCTCCATTGAGCTAAGAGCGGCAGCAGAACAGCCGCCAAGTTCCCGGCTGCTCAGTTGCCACAGCCACGAGGGGATCCGATCCTCTCGCGCGCCACCCTTGCCGTGACCTGACCCCGCTGGTCCATAGCGGTGGTACGTCGGCGTGGTGCTTCTGTGGTGAGGTGTGTACAGAGAGCAGGTCATGAGTGGAAACCGCCGGAGCGTGGCACTCGTTGGTGGACGTTTGGGTGCATTTGGGACGGGTATGAGACGCTACGTAATTAACTCTCTTTGTAGTTTGTAATCCTCATCCATTCCACCGCTCCGCACGCACGGACGGAGGAACGCGTTTGAGCCACGGTCTCACGGCACGACGATGATGGTGATGATGATGCATGTGCTTAATATGCACTCGCACGCACACGCATGCCATTACACAGCCACCCACACACATTGTTAGGTAAACACACACAACTAGTAATGACAGTGACTTGATTATTCATGCACCTGCACGCAGAGTCTAGAAACCCATACACATGCAACTCTTACACAGGTACCTACACACCACTCATACTCTCATAATAACATCTTACACATCCACTAAAACACACGCCCTATACTCTACGCTCAAATAAACCACAAATATTCACCGAATAGCCTATTATAGACTGTTAGGGAAAGTACTGTTAGCGAGCACCTATTTCTTGGCAGAATTGCACACTCGGTGAGTGGCCAATACCATGGCCAGGCGCTTTTGTCTCCCAAGTGCTGATGTTTACACACCGCACCTAGCACTCATTTGAGGCTGAGTCGACCTAGGGGAGGCCAGAGGCTGGCTCAGGAAATTGTCACTGGTGTTGGCCACAAGCGGGAATCGAACTCGGGTTGCCAGGTTTGTAGTGCGGTGCGCTAACCACTGCTCCACCAATCTACACATAAACAACAACGTAAACACTCGCGCACACACGTATATACCTACACACACACCTACACACACACGTTGCTCTCTCTACACACACACTGAAAAACACGTGTACGAACACCCTACATGTGCTCAAAATCTAACACGCAATTATTTCCCTCCACACAAAGACTAAGTTTAACACGTCGGCTTTCGCGACCAATATCCATAATATAGGTTTTTTTGGTTAGATTGTGGAAATATAAATGTGTCGTTAATCCCGCCACCATCCGACACAGCCAATTAGAAGGGTTTGTCACGTAAGCAGAACGTGCGAATTCCTTATTAGTACAGCACACCGGTGTGTTGGAGAGAAAATTCACAACATTTACCCCAGTGTAGCTTGCAGCAGACTGTTGGAGCAAGTGCTGTTCGTGAGCACCTATGAGGTGCCGGAACGGCACTCGAGGGGGTGAGTGGCCAACACCACGCCTGGTCGCCTTTCCTAAGTAGCGATGTTTGCACACCACACCAGGTACTCATTTGAGGCTGAGTCGACTTAGGGGAAGCCCAGGACCGGTTCAGATAATTGTTACTGGTGTCCACCGGGAGCAGGAATTGAACCCTGGTCACCGGGTTCGTAGTGCCACTGCTCCCCACTCGCACACACACTCGCACACACACTCGCACACACACTCGCACACACACTCGCACACACACTCGCACACACACTCGCACACACACTCGCACACACACTCGCACACACACTCGCACCACACTCGCACACACACTCGCACACACACTCGCACACACACTCGCACACACACTCGCACACACACTCGCACACACACTCGCACACACACTCGCACACACACTCGCACACACTCGCACACACACTCGCACACACACTCGCACACACACTCGCACACACACTCGCACACACACTCGCACACACACTCGCACACACACTCGCACACACACTCGCACACACACTCGCACACACACTCGCACCCTCTGCCCTACACAGACACGCGCACGTGTTACCGGGTTCCGAGCCGGCGGGCACTTGACGCTACCCGCGCCGCGTGACCTGTGCCCGCAGCATAGCCATGGCACAGCTGCTCCTGGACGTGTTCTGGTACCAGCGGCTGTGGCTGCCACCAAACCTGACGTGGGCTGACCTGGAGGACTCTCCGGGCACCGTGCAGCCGCGCCCCTCCGACCTGTGGCTCACGCTCCCCGTCGCCCTGCTCTTCATCGGCGTGCGACTGCTCTTCGAGAGGTCAGCCGAAACCGCGGGATGCCCGCGCCCCGCGGGTCAGCAGGCCGCACAGAGCCGCAGCCCAGTGGTAGCGCACGCTCCGCTTGGGGCAGAGGTTCGTGGTTGGACCCTGGCAGGCAGCCCTGTTTAATACTGCAGGCGTATCAACCGTAAGATGCCGCTACGCTCAATCCGCTTCGCAATGGGCCTTTTAAAAGAGTATAGGGCGTTGTGTGCCGTCGTCATGGTTCAAATCAGAATGAACTCTCTACATACTCAATTACGATTACACACCACAACGTCGACCCCTGCTGAAAAACGACTGCAGACCACCAAACATCGCACCTTCCTTCGTGGGAGCATTGTGCTATAATAACGGTGCCAACACCAAATAATTTGATTTTGATGTTAATGTCAAGCACACAGTAGCCACACGGTAGGTAGGTCATCTGATTTGTCACCATGTGGGTCAGAGCCACTCACTGTGCCAGTCTCGCTGACCCAAGTCACCTGGGCACCCTGCAAATGGCGTTTATCTGGGTGCTGGGCTGTGCTTGGGTACTGTTTGCTAACCAGTCCCTTCACTGCCTGGTGAGTCAGAGACCTCTATCAAGGTGTGTTTGCACACACTTACCGTGAAAACAAATCCTTGGGAGGCAACAGGTTGAGATTTGAAAAATGTCCAAGTCCACGGGATCTGGGTAGCGGCGAGATGACCGCATACCAAGTGGGCTGGTGAAGCTGTCTGTGTAGATATGTTTAAGCGTCGTCTCACCGTGTGTGGTGGGGCTTCTCCAGCTGCTCTGGTTTCCTGCCTCGCGTAAAACATCCAAGTGCAGCATGGGGAGCCTACTCAAAACGAGTTGAATTACAAGCTCAATATTAGTTTGTTTGACCAGGTGAGACCAGGATGTTGTCTCATTTGTGAGAGCGACTGATCCGGGTTACCAAAACGACAAACGTGATTGCCTAAAAACAAGGTACAGCGATAAAGCAAAACGGCCAACTAGAGATGGATTTTTAGCTGTTGGGTTTTATTTCATGGGCGTCCTGTGACGTGTATGGAAGTTATAAAGAACAGATCTTGGTTAATATCGTGGTTACGTAGGTCGCGATACAAACAGCGTGTACCGGTACTCTTTACAGGTTACAGTCATAGGGAAACTGGTCTTAAACGTAACCAAAAAAAAATAGAAAGTGTGACTACATTGTTTTAGGAACAAAAAATTATCTAAGCAATAAATGACTAAAAATAAATTAGAGCAAAAAGCGAGTGTGTCACAGATCATATTCTTGTAAATATTACATGATATATTAATTCAAAGGAATTGTCGGTGGTTGTGCGATCATTGTGCTCGTCTGTGACGGCGCAGCTTTGCCTGGTGACCTCCCAGCCCCGTTGGCGGTGACCTCTCTCCTGGCTCCATGTGTACTCTACAGGGGCATATTTGATATTTGATAACGGTTGCTAGGCTGGGTATTTTATTGAGGGAGCAGCAGCAGCAGCGGTCACAGGTCATGGCGAGTGTGAGTGGGTGAGTGCATGTGTGCGAGATGTGGGGGAGCGGTGGTGTAGCGGTTAGCGCGCTGAGCTACAAACCCAGCCACCCGAATTCGATTCCTGCTCACGGCCAACACCGGTGACGATTATCTGAACCGGTCCTGGGCCTTTCCCTAGGTCGGCTCAGTCTCAAATGAGTACCTGGTGCGGTGTGTAAACATCTCCACTGGGGAGACAAAGGCAGTCGAGCGTGGTGCTGGCCACCCACCCCTCGCGTACCATTCTGGCCTTCATAGGTCCTCGCTAAGAGCACTTGCCCCAACAGTTTGTATAAGGCTATACGGGGGCTCTTTGTCTTTTTGTGTGAGATGGGAGCGGAAGTGCAGCGGCTACCACGGCATGCTACTAACCCAGCGACCTGAGTTGGATTCCCACTCATGGCCACCAACACCAGTGACGATTATCTGAACCAGTCCTGGGCCTCCCCCAGGTCGAGTCGGCGTCAAATGAGCACCTGGTGCGATGTGTAAACATCGTCATGCGGGAGACAAATGTGTCCGGGCGCGGTTCTGGCCTCCCACCCCCTTCGTGTGCCTTTCCGACCTTCACAGATGCGCTAACAGCCCTTGCCCCAAATGTCTGAGGCTATACAGGGGCTCTTTATCTTTGTGCTAGTGTGCGAGCTCGCGCATCCTCGCCGAGAGACCGACGGAGCACACGTGCCATCGCCGTGCGCTAGCGGCAGAGTCCCTGTCGCGGCGACGCCCGCTCTGTGCAAAGTCTGATCGTGGGACCTTTGAGCTGGGGATTGATCGCGTTGTGTCCCGCTGTGTAAACAAACCCTGGGGGCTGGTGGGCAGGTGGGCGGGTGGGAGGGTGGGGTGTGTGCACCGCCGTTCCGTGTGGGGACACCATGGAGACCGACTCGCCTCCCGGGGCGGTGCCCTGTTTGTGTCGGTGACGGCGGTTTGGCGTTGACTGACGAGAATGTGCCGGCGTGTGCCCCGTGGGGTGGCGGCCATTGTCCTATCCCCGCTTCTCGTCGGAGATTTGGTTCTCCGATTGCGCCATCGCTGCCGGAGAGCGTTTCCGTTCAGCCTCGTCACCGGCACGACCCTGCGTTAAAGAGAAGATGACGTTGCAGAACTATTTCTGAATTCACGTTAGAAGAGAAGGGCCCCCCCCCCCCTCCCCTGCTTTATCCACATTCGGGTCACAGCTCTGATACATCCTGCAAAGAGCGTTCGGCTTGAGTTAATAGCGCAGAAGTTTGTAAAGTCCCGGAGTTGGAATAATTTGACGGTTTAACTGTTGAACCCGCCAGATCACTACGCTTGAGTACCCAATTTTAATCGAGGGTAGATAAAACTTGGATTTTAACATGAGGTTATCAATTCGGCGGGTGAAGCTCTGACCCGTGCCCACCATCCGCGCCGTTTCTGCTTCATGTTGGGTTTTTGAGAACACAATGGCAGGGGAAGATTAGAAACGCCGCTGCACATTGACACGCTCCCAGTCCAGTCGCTCTGCTGCTGCTGACGAGGCAGTTCTCCTTTCATCACGGCGCCTCTGGCATCGCAGTGAAGAGAGCCTTCAGAACCTCCCAGAGTTTGGGTTAAAGCTCCGTGGCCGGCTTTGGGAATCGAGCGCCGGCTTCCAAGGTACCGGCATTCAGCCTTGAGACTCGATGCAGAGCGACCTGCGATGGTGAAAACGTCCCTAACCGAGTGCTTAATCGCTGACCTCAACGCAGAACTCCGCGGTCGCAATTGAACTGCACGCGGTGGTCCGTGCCGCGTCACGACATCGCGCGGCAGACGCGGACGTCTGCACCGATGACAATTTTGGCGAGCCCCACACCGCGACCCATATCGTCGCGCCACTGCACGCCACTTCCATCATATGATTCTGTGGGTCTCTGAGTCAGTCTATAGCTCAAATCACGGCCTACATAGTAGCGTCACTGCACACTTCCATCATGAGTCTGTGGGTCCCCATGTGAGTCTTGGGTCTCTAAGTCCATCTATAGCTCGACACATGGAACAAATAGTAATGCTGCTGCCTGCTTCGATCACTCACCGGAAGTATTTCAGAAATCACCACATTAATCTCCCTGTGAGTCTACAAGTGGCTGGGTGTATGCGAGACTTATTTATTTCCGTGATAAATTCACCGGGCGACTCCTGCAGCTCACCGACTGGCTCACTCACCAGCCGCAACACAAGCCCGGAAACACTGCTGATCAGCTCTGCACGGGGCGTGAGAACAAGAAGAGTTGTCATTTGAAGTTAATTCCTCCGCAGGACATCCGGGAGACACCATCCGGCCCTGCCACAACTCTAGCCAGAGGCCGCAATACCGTTTAGGGGGTTCGGGGTGGGAAATGGAATTTATTCCACAGAGTGCAGGAGGCTCACTCGCTGGCCCGGCTTGCCCAGCTTGTTGCACCGCACAGCCTACAAAAGAACCATTCATGTGTGCCACAGAATCCTGTCGTGTTTTGGTAAAACTAAAACCTCGCGTGAGAGAGAGTCCTCTGCATTCTCTCTCCAAGTGGAAGTGACTAGCTGAACCCGCACTGCACACACACGCACACACACGGGGAGATTCTGAATCGGTTCCCTGCGAGTCCGTTTCAATGTTGGTCCCTTACCGGATTCTCATCCATCATGCCATGAGATGAAGAATCTATCCAGACGTCAGCGCTGGGAAGACATCGGGCTGAACCTGCGTGTAACCATGTGTGTTTTCTTATAGGTGTGTGTAACCGTGTCTAACTGCGTGTCTAACTGCGTGTCGGGTCGCCAGGTAACCGTGTGCGCATGGAACCGTGTGTGAGCAGGTGGGTGGCCACGCCGCTGGCACGACGCATGGGCGTGGTGGAGACGGTGCGGAGGGAGGTGCCGCCCAACGCCGTGCTGGAGAAAGTCTACCGCTCCCGCACCAAGCGGCCCACACAGGTAGCGTCCCGCCCGGCCCGCCATCCTCTCTAAGGTCTGCTCGGCCAGAGATTGATGCCATTTTCATTATACGGGTTTAACTGTTACTTATGAGATATACATAAAAAGTATAACTTATTTGCAATTCTACATAAATAAAGAAAGTCTCAAATTTAAGTGGGGGGGAGGAAAGAGAGAGAGGACGACTCAGGAGGACCCACAGATGAGCGAGATCGGCAGCAAGCAGCCGTGCGGTGAAGAGCCGGTGCCTACAATTGCCCAAGCTCGGCGGTCTCCTATATATTAAGATGTTTCCAGCCATTTAATGAGCGCTTGCTACGTGCGGGAGGAAAACCGGAGCACCCGACAAAACCCACATGCACGTGTGAGGGGGGCGCACCCCACTCCATCCTGTACAGATGGAACAGATGGGAGCCTACGTTTGCCGTACCGCCATTTCCTGGCGAGCCGGGGTTACGGCTCCTCATCGCGATGCGACCCGTGCACGCTGGGGCCGTCGTGCCGTCAGCTAGAAACTCGTCGCCATCGTTTACCCTCCGCCGCCACCGCTGCGGTGTCCCCCGGCTGTGGCGTCTCACCGCAGGCCGAGCTGGAGCGGCTGGTGAAGCAGTCCGACTGGACGCAGCGCCAGGTGGAGCGCTGGTTCCGGCGCCGGCGAAACCAGGACCGCGCCGGCATCATGAAGAAGTTCTGCGAGGCGAGGTGCGGGGAAACGGGGGGGTGGGGGCGGTGAGGGGGGGCCCCTCTGTCGCCCGCGACGGCTGTCCGGTCGGTTGTGCTGAGGAAGTAATGATTCGTCGGTCGATAGCGGTGCTCGTGACGCACGTGCGTTGAGTGCACGCGCAACGATTCGTTGTTTAGAATGACGAGATAGAAATTTGCTTCTGTCTAAATGGCGATATTCATTCAGATCGGTGCAGAATTTTACTCCCCCCTTTTTAAATTTAACGTCATTGCTCGAACAACAAAATCTGAATAATCTCGCACGGACGAGACGGGCAATGCACGTGGCAGTACTCGGAATGGTGAAAGCGAAACGGCATACAGCGAGCAGTTGGGACACGGCGCCGAGAAACCGGTTGACGATTGAGAAAGGGCGGCACGGCGGGGCGGCACAAATGAGTAGCGTTGCGGCCTATGTTTGTCGGACTGCACGTGAGAGCGAGCGTTGGACAGTGGATAACGTGAGCGACCAGGAAGAGAAATTGATTCGTTCTACCTCCCACCCCTCCTCTCGCTCATCTCTTCCACTTCCCCTTCCTGCTGCGTCCTCCGGGCGTCTCCTCCCTGGCGACACCTCGCCTCGCCGTCCCCCTGTCTCTCTCTCCTCCTCCCTCTCCCCGTACCGTCCATGTCTTCCCCTCTCCCCGTACCCCCCCATGTTTTTTCCTTTCCCCTCCTCGTACCCCCCCACGTCTTCCCCTTTCCTCGTACCCCCCCATGTCTTCCCCGTACCCCCCCATGTCTTCCCGTCTCGCTCGCAGCTGGAGGTTTGTGTTTTACATCGTGGCGTTCTGCATGGGCATGGCCGTCATCGTCGACGTACGTACGACGCGCGCACCCAGCTCCCTTCACTCGCGACGCAGTCGGTTTGCTTGACTGTTCACGCCGAGTGAACCTGGTGACCCGGTTCACTCTCATCCTGGTCTATCGAGTTCTGCCCTGGATAAACAAACAAACTTGAAACTTGAGCGCTTTCTTACTTTGATTTTCTCACGCGCAATTTCTGATGTTTTTGTTTTTGTAGAAACCTTGGTTTTGGGAACAAAGGGAATGCTGGGTCGGATACCCAAAGCAGGTAACGCACACAGGTCTACCACACCAAACACACCATGCCATATGATGGCTCACGTTGCAACACAGTACAGGATACAACAAGCAGGAATTCAGCAGACAGCTCCCGGCACACACACGGCAGTGTAACGCGGCGCGGAGCACAACTTGTGGATCACCGAGTGTTCACATGTCGTGTTGGGAGTGGTCCTGGGCCTCCCAAAGGTCGACTCGGCCTCAAATGAGTAACTGGTGCAGCGTGTAATCATTGCCTCGAGGGAGACAAAGGCGGCCAGGTGTGCTGTGTTGGCCTTCATAAGGTGTTCACTTTCAGCACTTGCCCCAATAGTCTCTTTAGACTCTGTAGGGGATCTTTTTTTTTATTTTTGCGGGGAGTGGTAGTGCAGTGGTTAGTGCACTGCATTACGGACGTGGCGACCCGCGTTTGATTCCTGCTCACAACCGATAACAGTGGTGAGACAAAGGCGGTCAGTGGCATTGTCCACTCACGCCCCCGTGTGCTGTACTGACCTTGATAGGTGCTCGCCAACAGCACTTGCCCCAACAGTCTGTTAAAGGCTTTACGGTGGATCTTCGTCTTTGTGCGTGCGTCGCAGGCCCTGCTGCCCTCGCAGTACTGGTACTACACCATCGAGCTCGGCTTCTACTTGTCGCTGCTCTTCAGCGTCGCGTTCGACGTCCGACGGAAAGTGAGTGGGGATGCGAGTACACGGGACGCTCACGCACGGGACGTGAGGACAGGACACGTGGTCACAGCGTGGGAAGCGTCTGATGTGAAGTTAGACAAAAAAGTCGAGCGACAAACAGCGAGGTTCTTATATGAGCTTTGGAAGAAAGATGATGATGGGAGGGAATTCTCAAGTGACGTCTCCTTGTGAATGTGTCCATGTGAGTTTGTGTATACTGTTTGTATCCACACGTCTGCGCGTCCCCCCGCATGTCCTCACGTGTCCCCTTGCCTGTCCCCCCGCGTGTCCGTGCAGGATTTTAAGGAGCAGATAATTCACCACGTCGCCACCATCGTGCTCATCAGCTTCTCGTACTTCGCCAATTACATCCGGGCGGGCACCCTCGTCATGGCCGTGCACGACTCCTCCGACTACTTCCTAGAGGTGACGCTTCCGTGCATGCGAGTGTTTACGTGTGTATGCGTGCGTGAGCGGACTCGGTCAACGCGATGAATGATTTCAGGCGGAGGTGGGAATTGAGGGAGTGAGCGATGCCCCTGCTGTGAGCGATGCCCCCCCCCCCCCCCCTGCCGTGCGTGATGCCCCCCTGCCGTGTGTTCCGCAGTCGGCCAAGATGTTCAACTACGCCAGGTGGCAGCGCACGTGCGACTCCCTCTTCGTCGTCTTCACCGTCATCTTCCTCGTCACGCGCCTCGTCATCTTCCCCTTCTGGTGCGGGCATTGCGCTCGCTCACGCACACCCTCCACACGGGCTCACTTGCTTTGTGTGGTCGTAAGCTTATCGATGCACTTGCATGTCCACACACAGGCTCCCAAAGCGTCATGATTATTTACTGGCATGCTCACACAGCCTTTCATTGCAAGTCACACGCACGCTCATTCACACGCGTTCACGTACGCACTCGCAAATACTCTCTCACACCCACGTGCTCACCATTCACCCACGTGCTCACCATTCACCCACATGCTCACCATTCACCCACATGCTCACCATTCACCCACATGCTCACCATTCACCCACATGCTCGCTCACATCTGCACTCACTCACGCAGCCTTGCTCCTGCCCACTGGATGGCCACTTAAATTCCCAGCCAATCATGTTCAGCTCCTCTCTTCAGGCCCCAACTTTGTCTCCTTCTCCACTCCACCCCCCCTACCCCTTTTGCCATGACCCTCCCTAGCAATCGCTCACCAGAAAAGGGCTCGCTCATCCCGAGGCCTCGTATTGGGAGCCGTTTAGCTGCCGTTACTCCGAGCGTTGTTACGCGTTTGTGTCGATGTGTCCCAGTTGCTTTTGGCGCTGGCCACCCCTTCCCCTCGTGTGCCATGCCAGTCTTCATAGGCGCTAACAGCACTTGTATCAACAGTCTATTAAAGGCTACATGGGGGATCTTTGTCTACACGGGCACCGCGGTGGCGAGATGTTAACTACCTCGCCTCGTATGCAGGTTGTGGGTTTGATCCCGACACTGACGCCTGTATATTTGGGGGTTTGCGTGTCTCTCTCCCCGTGGTCATGTGTTTTGAGTATTTGGCTGCTATAAAGTTCCACGTCAACAGCTGCCTCGTTGCGCTAGCATTCACGGCCAGTGGGCCTTACTTGGTAAAATGAAAAGTCTCGTTTAGTTTGTGTTGTCGTTCGTGGCGGTGATGTCTGCGGTGTCACCCCTGGTGCAGGATCATCCACTGCACAGCGGTCACGTCCCTCGAGTTCTACCCCGCGTTCTTCGGCTACTACTTCTTCAACGCCATGCTCATGGTGCTGCAGCTGCTGCACATCTTCTGGGCCTACCTCATCGTGCGCATGCTCTACCGGTTCATCTTCGTCGGACAGGTTGGTCCCCCCACCCCGCCGTTGGCCGGGGAAGGGCGGGGGGGTTATTGAGTACATGAATGGGCGACAGAGATAATGGCTTAATGGGTGGGTGGGTGAGTGACTGAGCAGGTGACTGAACAGGTGGAAAAGTGGGCAGGTCAGAGAGCAGGTGAGTGTGAATGGGTGGGTGGGTAAGTGGATGCATGAGTGGATTGGTGGGTGAGTGAATGGATGGGTGAATGAGTGAGCGCGTGGTTTGGTGGGCGGGGGATCAGGGAGGAAAGCGAGTAGTGGATGATAGAGTTCATGAGTGGATGAATGAATGGGTGAGTGCATGCGGGTGAGCAAGTGGACAGGTGAGAGGAAAGTGAGTGGATTGAGTGGGTCGGTGTACGAGTGAATGGATGGGCAAGTGGAGGAGTGTGCGAGCATTGGCGTGAACTGGAGAGGTTCCCCCCCTCGCTGTCACAGCTCGACAAGGACGAGCGGAGCGACGTGGACGAGAGCGACGGCTCGGAGGAGGAGTCTAGCACTGATTGCGCAATGGGCTCCAACGGCGCCATGAGGAACGGGCACGCGGGCGTGTGCGGCGGAGACAAGCGCGCCACCGCCAAGGCGCAGTAACCACCGCCACGGCGGGCCATGGGCAAATCCACGCCCGCGCCCGCCTTTCCTGGGGTAACCGGCAGCAACCGAGGACCAAGCCGATCGGACCGCGGCAGCCAGCCTCACTCCGGTGGACAGCAGCCAATCAAGCCGACAGCACTCGACCGCGTGACCAACGACGCCAGTCAATCGGCCAATAGCAGTAGGCGGCCGTGACCGTCAAAACCAGCCAATCGAGAGGCGGCATCCGACCGTGAGGCCGTCGTCCAGTCGGCCTGACGGCGGTCCCTGGTTGGGCGGCTCCCCAGGGACGGCGGTGAACGCGCTCCTCTCGCTGCGCGCCGCTCTCCACCGCTGATGATGCTGGTGATGCCACCAAGACGCGGACGGTCCAACGATGAGTTAATTTCGCACTAAAGTGACTTGTTTATTTTAATCAAAAGTGATGATAAGTAGCGATGATTTGGTTTTCCTTGTTGGTGTTACGCCAAACGAATATTAACGCGTTGCGTTATTTTAAAGCCGTTAGCGTTAATCACACTTGTTTATTTTCCGTTGTTATATATATTTTTATCGTTATTATTCGAGCAGCGTAACACTGCCAAGGTGCAGGACCTAAACTCTTAAGATTTGCGTCACTGCAGCCGCGCGCACGAGGGACCCTGTTGCGAGCGACCCTGTCGGGCGGCTCTCTGGCGTCTCCCTCGAGTAGCGAGACGCTGCATGCCCTGCGCCCCGCGTCGTCCCGGCGCGGCGCGGCGCGGCGCTGACGGCAAGCCCGCTAGCCGAGCGGGGCGCGTTCATCCGAGGGGATGCTGCTGCAGTACATCTCCTTTACTTTCCTCCCACGCGCGCGCACTAGGCTCCTTCCATACCTTCTTGCTTGCCGCCCTCTCCCCTCCTGCGCTGCCCTCCGTGGAGCTCGGCCTCGAGCCTTGGGCGTTTGTTCACAGGCGGCGCGACCGCAGGGGAAGGCGGTTGGCGATTCGTGCCATTTTTTTTTAAATGTACGCCGATGACGCCTTCGTAGAATACGTGGCCTTGGCAAGTGGCACGTGGAGTTTCTCGCCAGCCTCCGTTGAAATCGGTTTCCCGCGTTAAAGATTTCCGCCAGTGCCGCTGCTGTGACATCGTATTTTGACCCCCTCCCCCGTAGAATTATTTATCCCGGGGGTTAGAATTCTACAGATTATCTGAATACCTCCCTCTTCCTGTGGTTAACACCCTCTCCACAACCCCATGCCAGTCTGGGTCGTTCTTTTTCAGATCCGTACCTGCCATGGGAGTGGCTCTCCTCCTTAGTCCTGCACCTTGACACAGACAACGCCACTTGGCAGCGCGTGAACCATGGGCAGGTGCTTCGACACGAACCCTGCGGTAGTCTCACTGCAGGCTGGGGTGGTGGGGTTGGGGGTCCTATAGCTCTAACAGTATTTGCACCCTGGCCGTCCAGAGATGTCGTGTTCTGGTCATTTTCTACGGGTGGAGTCGTATTGCTGTAAGGGCTTGTTTTTTGGGGGTGCAATGACCGTGCTTGCTATTCTGAGAGTCAAATGTGTTTTCCTGCTCAAATGAGCATTGAGTTACTGGTCCTCATCTCATGCTTGCAGTCGTGACCAAGTGGTGGAAATTCTCCATTCCTATGGCGGTGCGTGTCTGCCCCCCATCGGACAGCCACTGTTAATTTCCCCACAATATGGTATTCATTTTATTGATCCCAGAGGGATGACGATGGGCCAAGTCAACCCCCAACTGGAAGTTGAACTCGCAACCTTCTGAATGCCACCGAGGTTCCGATCTATGGGGTCTACATTGCTATCTCGCACCGGCAACTAAAATACGGTGCACAAGTGTCGTTGTGTGTGTGTGTGGGGCACCGGTGGGGGGAGCGTTGGCCACTGTGCTGGGTCTGTGAGGGACCAAGTCCCAATCCCTCTGTCCGTGTTTGAGCGGCGTCCGTGTTGGGCCAAGCCTGGCGTTCGCACTTGGTGACAGTGCTCGTGTGTGGGACGCACGCCGACTCGAACGCACTCATTCACGTTCAAACTCGTATGGACTCACTCCGACTCTCACGCGGACACATGTTCACTCACACTTGCACACACTCATGGTTCACTCGCACACACTCGCACACCCATCTGGACTCCCGTTGACACTGCTACAAACTGACACGGGCACTCCTGCCAACACTGCTACTGGCACACATACGCTTCTGTACACAGCCAGCTGACACTCGCATGCACATTGACTCATGCGCATGCAAACACACCAATTCATCGAGCTCGGCTGCTAATTCATGAGGAGGCTGAGCCTCTAACTTTGCCCTCACGGGGCTGAGCCGGGTCATGAATATGACTGTACTTTTGACCCTGTGCCTCTTAACCCCAACCTCTTGAACCCAGACCCGGCTCTGTAATGAACGAGGCAGAGACGCCCCCTCCTCTGGATTGAGATGCGAGTCCCATGGCTGAAACGCACACCCAGCGATTGCAAGAGGGATTGGTAGAGCGGTGGTCCGGAGACCCGAAGCGAGGGGGGATGTCTGTCCCTGGCGTTTGCCCCCGCCCCCCCGTCTGTCTCCTCGTGTGGCCAGTCCCACTGGGGCGGTGGCGGTGTTTCATGTTTATAGGAGGAGGCGTCACCCCCCCACTTCCCCCGACAGTGACGAGTGAGGTGAAAGTGGAGAGATCCCAGGTGGCTGCTGGTGGGAGCATGGACGTGAAGCACGCTGGCCAATCGGAGCATCGTCCGAGCTCGAACCCACCTGACCTTGCCAACAAAACGGACCAAGCTGTCTAAACATAAACCAATTTTCACTCTTAACCATAACCCTACCCTAGCCTTGCCCAGAATTACCGTAGCCCTACCGCAAACCACAAACCTTGCCAAATCCGCAGTTTTATCCATAACCGACAATCACCAACCGTACCCAAACCTTAATCATGGACGTGCCATCAGTAGCCACGGACCCCAGGCCTCCACTTCCTCTCCCGCTCGCCTCTCCCGCTCGCCTCTGCCGCTCGCTGCTGGCCGAGCCGGCGTCGCCCGTCGTGGGTACGATTTTCAAAGCGTCGCTCTCGATGTGTTCGCCTTTTTCCAATATCGCTTAATATGAACTTGCAATTGTATTTAATTTAAGCTTTTTTTTGTACATTTGCCTTCTAGAATAAAGAAATTATGTGCCACGGCAGTGCGGTCAGGGTTGCGCTTCTATGCCAGCGAGTCGCCTGTTGTGCTCTCTGCCTTGGTTCCTCCTCGCCTCTCTGTGTCCCTCTCCCTCAGTGCCGGTGTTCCTGTTTGTGTCACAGCGCCACGAACTCGGTCTTGCCTCACTGTGCCGCGTCTATTCGTGTTCGTTTGTCTTCATGTGCCACTGTCCGTCTCCAATGTCTTACGACTTATCACCAGTTGTCTGTCTCTCACCATCTTCATTATTGTCCAGTGTCTCGTGTGTCACCGTCTCTCCTTCCCTCCCCATGCCTAACTCTACCCCACACGACTGATCATGGGAGGGTGACTGCGTCACATTTGAAAGCCGCGCTCGTTAATGTTTGTTGACGTGACTCGGGCACGTACAAATGCGTGGGGGGGGGGGTCTCATGCCATGAGTATGGGGTGCTCTTCTCTCTTGCGCCACGATCACAAACGCCAGACCCCCACCCCTACCCCCTGGGGGCTACGCTTCTGTTCCGTGACGATAGGCGTGTTGTAATCCCTTGCCTGTGGAAGTAACCGTGTGGACACTCACACCAAGAAGAAGCGACCGGACAAGACTCTTCCTCATATCTGTGCTCTACTCTATTCACAACGCATCCATCGCAATACAATACACGATAATTTACACGGAGAGAATGCTGCTGCTCATGCTACTGCTCAGACATCCACTCATCCACACCACGGTTGTCCGCTCCCAAGCTCCACAGCGGGTGGTGCTACAGCGGGTGGTGCTACAGCGGCTCTTCCGCCTCGCAAGCGCCGCTCACCAAATTCCCAACGGCGACCGTCCACATACAACGAAGATTCCTCACGGCTCCTTAACAGACTTGGGGCAAGTGCTGTTGAGCACCTACGAAAGGCCAACGACACACTAGGGGGTGGTTGGCCAGCACCACGCCCAGCTGTTTTCTTTTGTCTTTCCCCCCAACTGGTGATGTTTATACACTGCATCAGATACTCAACAAAGGCCGAGTCGAGTCGACCTAGGGGAGGCCCAAAACCGGTTCAGATATTTATCGTTGATGTTGGCCACAAGTGGGAATCGAACTCGTTCACAGAGTTCGCAGCGCGTCAATTGCTGCACTACCACTCCCCACGCGCACCCATGGAATTCATTGGAGTGGCGTGCCGGCTGCCCGCCATCACGGCTCCGGGTTGGCAGAGGCCGCGGGGGCCTCCGGGTTGCGGATGGGCACAGCCGCTCCTTCCACATCGTCCCGGGCCGCACCGAGGCGGCTCGTATCCTCGCCGTCGGTGAGGTCGAGCGACTCTTTCTGCGGGCAAGGGGAGCGGAAGGGGTCGAACACGGGCACCGTGAGACTCGGGCAGTCACGGGAGGTGAACCGGCGGTGATGGTCGATGATCCTGCGAGCGATAATGGTGAATGTCACTGTGGCGACGTTAACATTAATGATGCTAGTACAGGAGCTGATGGTGATAATTTTGCTCGTGAAGTTAAGATTAACAATGTTGGTTCATGAACTGATGATGGTACTGATGGCAATGATCGTGGTGGTGATGGCAATGAAGATGCCGTGGACTCACACGCACGATGCTTCCCCTCCAGAACGCCGGCAGCTGCCTCTTCCCAGCGGCCACGGCGGTGCAGGTGAGCACCATGCACGGCACCAGGTAGAGCAGCGCCGGTTGCCCCATCCGTGTCAGCACCAGTGCCACGAATGTCACCAGCAGCCCCAAGCCGTATGCTGGTGGGTCACGGAGGTCACGGTATGAGACGCGTGTGGGCACAGGGCACTTACCAATTCAATACAACCCTTCCCCCCACCCCCCGAGATTCGACACATTCTTATGATGCAGGGTCGTGACCTGGTGTTGTGGCGTTCTCGCCGCCCCCTTCACGTCGCGTGCGTAATTTGCCGTCTCGGTTCGGCTCACGCACCGCGATCGCTTTTCAGCGTGTGCAGAGTGGAGCGCTCATCGCAAATAAGCGATGACTAGACGCGCATTGCGATGCGTGCACCGCAAGCACCGGCATCAATGTTGACAACTGAATCGATTGTTTCCCCCTCGCACACAGGTTTTCTTCGGATGCCCTGGTTTCCTCCGACATACGTAAACGCTCATTAATTGCCTGATACCTTATGACATGGAGGCCTGCGGAGCTTGGGCAATTGGTGGCACCGGCTTATCGCGTGGCTGCCTTCCTGCTCATCTGCGGTTCCTCCTCATGCCAGGGTATGCACACCCACCAACCCGCAAAGCCATTCACGCACGTACCCACACACACACACCTGCATATCTGTCCACATGCTTAGCAGACTCCAAGCAAGTCTGCCTGGATGCTCAACTGCACATGAACCTGTTAACATTCCATTGTATTTGTCATGTAGCCATACAGACTTGGGGCAAGTGCTGTTAGCGAGCACCTATGTCCACCACAGCACACGAGGGTGTGGGTGGCCAATACCTCGCCTGGCCATCTGTCTCCCGAGTTTTTATGTTCACACACTGGATCAGGAACTCGTTTAAGGCCGAGCCCACCTAGCGGAGGCACAGGATTAGTTCGAATATTTGCCAGTTATTGGCCGTGAGTGAGAATCCAACTTGGGTAGCGGGGTTCATAGTGCAGTGCACTAACCACTGTGTTAAATACCAACACGTACATATCTGCATACCCATCGACATACGTACAGACCGCATGCAATGATGCCTGCACGCTCACCAGCACATGCATCTGCAAATCTCACTCCTATACACTCACCCACTGCACTCGCCCACCCCCTCCTGCGCACTCACCCAACCCTGCTGTGCACTCACCCACTGCGCTCAACACACACAATCCCTCCCATGCAAACCCCCTCAGGGAGCTCACCTATGGTGCTTGTCACAAAGTAGATGTGCGACGAGTTGGTGTGTACGTCAAACCGGTGGCAGTACACGACCAGCACACCTGCAGCACAGGCGCACACAAAGATCCCCCGTGTAGCCTCAACAGGCTGTTTGGGGCAAGTGATGTTGGTGAACACCTATATGAAGGCTGGCGTGGCACACACAAGAGTGTGTCACCAACACCATGCCCGGCCGCTTTTGTCTCACCGGTGCTGATGTTTCCACACCGCAGCAGGTACTCATTTGAAGCCGAATCGACCTAGGGGAGTCCCAAAACCGGTTCAAATATTCGTCGCCACTGTTACTGATCGTGAGTGGGAATCGAACTGAGGTCGTCAGCTTTATAGCAGTGCGCCATCCACAGCGCCACTGCACCCCCACACACCACACCACATACACCGTACACTCCACACACCACACATACACTACCACGCATTTACCACACACACACACACTCACTACAGACACAAGACACACACACCACGTATTCACCACACGCATTCACCACAGACTACATACACACCACGCATTCACCACACACACCACGCATTCACCACACACAACACGCATTCACTACAGACACACGACACGCTGCAACACAAGCAAACGCTCTACGCGTCACGCTGCGGACAGGGGGCGACGTTGTTTGTTGCTGCCGCTTCTCTTGCCCGACTGCAAGCGCCGTGGTGCACCGAACCTGGCACCAGGATGTCCCCGAAGCCGAGCAGCGAGAACGGCTGCGAGCAGACGGACAGCTCCGAGGGTGCCAAGCGTGGCACCTTCAGCACCATGGGCAGCTGCACGCACACAAAGACACGCCCCCCCCCCCCCAAACATTTAACCTTAACAGAATGTTGGCGCACGGGAGGGTGGTGGCCAGCAGTACTCCTGGCCGCCTTTGTCTCCCTAGTGGTTTTACGCACTGTACCAGGTGTTAATTATAAGGCTAAGTCAACATAGGGGAGGCCCAAGCCCTGTTGAGATATTCGCTGTCACTGTTATTGTTAGTGAGCGGGAATCTCAAATGATGAAAGTAAATAAAACCACTTCCACGCATCTAACTCGGTTCGCCGGTTTTAGTGCACAGAGCACTAACCACGACAATACCGCTCCCCACACGAACATATACATGCACACACACCCACGTGCATATACAGTACATGCATTTACCACGCGCATACACATGGACGTAGGTACACAGGCGACCAGACACAACATTTACTCCTGTGTTGTGTGACGCCTTGCCGAGGTTCAATGAAGAGGCGAGGCTAACCCACGTAGATGCCAACAGCAACGCTCCCATTGCGCTCACTAACAGCTGAGACCACATGATGATGAGGATGATAATTACCAGCGATTACCTTTTCCTTTGATGACGAATCAGATGGGCCAGAAGCAACCTCCACCATGATACTTTGTCCATTCTGATAAAAACACACAACAACAACATTAGCCATTCACCATGGCAGTGATTTCACCACGGTGCTTATGCCAGGCTAGGTGCACTTTGAGGCTATCAGGTGAAGTGGAGGTCTTGCTGGAGGAAGGTCACAGGAAAGAGCCAGGTACTATGGGTTTTCGTTATTGTACCAACACACATGCACCTCTTCGCTCACACTCACCGCTCGTGTACTCACTGACCCGAATAACTCTCACACCCACTAACTCGCTCACACACTAACCCACTTACTCACTTAATCATCCAATCACCTCCATATTCACTCAACCACTTGCCCAGGCGTTTGCCTACCACCCCTCACTCACTTCCCTACAACTTTTGGGTGAACTGAATGTCAACGGTTGCACTTCATCTGTTAACTGTTGAACCGATATAGCATATAATTGTACGGTTTTATTTTGGAATTGAGACGCTCTGTGTTTTGTAACTGTTATTCCACTCGTCCTTGTACCTGCTTTTATATTCGCGAGATTGGTCATCTCAATGCACTCTCAACTGCCTACTCGTATTTCTCTCTGCCTGGGTCTCGGTTAAGATTGGTAACGTCCTCATAACCAAGCTTAATATTCCACATGGACCTTCTCTAAGCTATGTTGTGTTAAGGTCATGCAGCAGGATCACCTCTGCCACAATTGCTATTAATGATATAGCTAAGCTCTGCTCGGTTGAGTACACAGTTTATTGTACTTGAGTATCTGTGACATGAGCTATTGATCATGTTTTTGCTGTTTAAGCCATTGTTTGTTTATCCTGTTTGAGTTTTGGAGTGGGTTCCGTACAAGTAATTTGTTGATAAGATTGAAAACTAATTTTTCTAGATTGAAAACTCATTTCCTTAGAAGAGATGTTTGTGTTTCGTTTGTTGTCCTTCCCCCGCACCTCTGATTATCACGGTTGGCTACGTACGGTGCGAAAGAAGTTCAACATATATACGTTCGTTTGCACATTCCCACCTGGTGGTGTCCTGCAACTGCCGCCACTGCCAGACGGTCTTGGGCTGTGGCCGTCCTCGTAATGGAGTGCCTAGCTCAGTAGGGCCTCCTCACCAGCTGAGATAATCAGGCCCGAGCCTGCATTGAATCCCGGTGGCACCATAAGCCGGCCCCGGGTTTTCCCGTGCATGCGAAACACGCACGCACGCACGCACGCGCCCATGTGCTCACCGGCATGATGTACGGCGTGATGAACACAAAGAAGATGTCGTACACAAACAGCATGACCAACAGCAGGGTGCACGCCTGCAATGCAACACAACACAAAGATAAAGATCCCCCGTATAGCCATTAACAGACTGTTGGGGTAAGTGCCATTAGCGAGCACCTATGCAGGGCGGCACGGCACACGAGGGAATTGGCTGGAGATGGTAGCGGTGGAGATGACAGTGGTGGCGGTGGTGTTGGTCGACTGTGGCATTGGCGGTGCAGCTGGTGAGGGTGCAGGGTGGTGGCGCCAGCGGCACCTTGAAGCTGGGCATGCGCAGCACCCGCAGCATGTAGGTGCAGAACGCGATGCCCAGCATGTCCTGGAGCACCCACGCCCAGCTGGCACCACACACAAAACAAAGACAGATCCCCCGTGTAGCATTTAACAAACTGTTGGGGCAAGTGCTTTTAGCGAGCATCTATGAAAGCCAGCACGGCACACGAGCGGGTGGGTAGCCAGCACCACGCCCGGCCGCCTTTGTCTCCTTAGTGGTGAAGTTTACACACAGCACTAGGAACTCATTTGAGGCCGAGCCGACTTAGGGGAGGCCCAAGACCGGTTCAGATAATCGTCACTGGCAAGGTTCCTAGCACAGCGTGCTGCCCGCTACATTACTGCCCCCCATTGATGCCCATCAATGCCTCGGTGGCCAAGCCAGTGGTGAAAGGTCCACACATTCCTATTGGTGAATCTAATCCACAGGACCAACCACTACCGAGTTCCCCACAAAATGGTACTTATGTTATCGACCCCGGAGGGATGATGGGCTGAGTCAACCTCACAACCGAAATATGATCTCGCAACTTTCGGACTGAGAGCCGCTCGCTCTACATCCGAGTCAGCTGACCAGGTCAAGGGGTGTCAGCGAGCTCTCACGAACACTCCCGGACACGGTGAGCGAGGGGGCGGTGCGGCCTGCACCACGGCCGGCGTCACAAGCGGCCGAGAAAAAGCACCAGCGGTGGCGTGGGGGTGGCCGCGGCGGCGTCACCTGTCCTTGTTGCGGAAGACGACCCACACGACGGCCGTGGCCACACAGAACAGCGCAAGGACCGCCAGTCGCACCGGGGGCGGCTCCTGCATGCATGGGGTAAGGGCACGGGGAACCCTGCCACCGGGGAGAGTGGGGAGCAGGGAGGGGTTGGAATGAGGGGGGGGGGGTAAGAACAGGGGAGAGGGCGGGGGGGGGGGGTTACGTGTCTGCATTGTGCGTGTGCGTGCCATGTGTGTGGCGTGCAGTGCTATGTCAATGCGCAGCTCGGGGAATACAGAACGGTGGAAGAGAGTACATGGGCAGGGGTACACACACAGGTAGGAATACACAGGGGTAGGGGTACACACGGGTAGGGGTACACATAGGTAGGATTCGACACGAGTAGGGATACACACACAGGTAGAGGCACATGCACCTGTAACTGCCGCACGGAGAGCGGGAGACGAGAGGAGCGAGGCAGCTGTAGAGGCCCAGCGAGGAGGCGAGGCAGAACACAGCGATGATCACGTAGACTGGGCCCGGACACACAGGGTTGCACGAAGATCCACGGGGACACACAGACACGCGGAATTACAAGCATCGCTTTATTACCCACACGATTCAACGCGCATACGTGTGAGCGTACCGGTCGATTTTAGTTCCCGAATCGTCACGTGCTCTCTATTTACCAGCAGGCATTGCAAGGGTAGTGGGAATCTGTGAAAAGGAGCATCATACCTAATCGGATTCCTCCAGGATAAATACGGATTCTGATTCTGATTGTGCGTTAATGTGCATGGGTGTGTGTGTTAGGCTGTGTGTGTGTTAGGGGGTGTGTGGATCAGTTTCCGCAACAGTCTGCCAAGGCTACACGGGGGATCTTTGGTCGTTGTATAGTAGCTGCAGTGGTTAGCACACTGCCCTACGAACCTGGCGACCAGAGTTCGATTCCCGCTCACAGCTGATAAGTGACAACGATTATTTGAACCAGTCATGGGCCTCCCGTAGATTGACTGAGGTGCGTTGGCTTGGTGTATACACCAACTCGTCACTTTGTGACAAATACCATAGGTGAGTTCCCTGAGGGGATGTGCATGGGAGATTGTATGTGTGGGCGAGTGCACAGTGGGTGAGTGTATAGAACTGAGGTTTGGAGATGCATGTGCAGGTGAGCATGCAGGCATCGTTGTATGCGATCTGTAAGTATGTGGATGGTTATGCAGACACGGGTGTGAGTGTGGGTGGGTTCGTTTCTCGCTCAAGGCTGGCACCAGTGACGATTATCTAAACTCGTCCTGGGCCTCCCCTAGGTCGACTCAGCAGCCTCAAATGAGTACCTGATGCAATGTGTAAACATCGCCACTGGTGAGACAAAGGCTGCCGGACGTGGTGTTAGCCACCCATCTTCTCGGATGCCGTGCAGACCTTCATAGGTGCTCACTAACAACACTTGCCCCAACAGTCTGGTGAGGCTTTGTCTTTTATGGGTATGTAGGACAGTGGTTAGCCCACTGGGTTATGAACCCGGCGACCGGAATTTGATTCCCGTTCATGACCAACACCAGTGGCGATTATCTCAACTGTTACTGGACCTCCCGTAGATTGACTCAGCCTTAAACTGAGTGCCTGATGTGGTGTGTAAACATCAATACTGGGGAAAAGATGGTGGCTGGGCAACACCACCCCTCATGTGCTGTGTCGGCCTTAATTGGTGCTCCCAAACAGCACTTGCTCCATCAGCCCGTGTGGGCTACACGGTAGCTCTTTGTCTGTGTGTGATCACATGCATGGGTGCCTGCACACCCAGATAGTCGTAGAAGAAGTAGAGCATGGTGAGCATGATGGTGGAGGTCGCCACGAACAAAGCCACCATCTTGGGTGAGATGTCCTCGCCGGCCTGGGCGGCTCCTCCTATGCCGCCGACGCCGCTTGTTGGCGCGGCGCTACTGCTGCTGCTGCTGGGGAAAGTGCACAACCGCCACCACCATTGTTATCACCACTGCCATCGCGATCACTACCGCCATCATCAACACCGCCACCATCACCGCCACCACCACCATCGCCATCATCATCATCGCGACCACCACCATCATCACCGTCACTGCAACCACCGCCATCGCCATCGTCACCGCCACCAAAACCACCGCCATCATCATCACCGCCATCACCACCATCATCATCATCACCGCCAGCATCACCGCGCGTGCGAGCTGGGCATGTGAGCTCACGTCTTCATCTCGGAGACTCCGGCCCAGTAGCTGGCGCCGGCCACGGTCCCCACCGCCATCACGTAGATCAGCATCATGTTGTAGTCGAGGCGGGACTCGCGCGGGGCGAACAGGAGCACCTGCTGCTCGCCGTCACGCCGAGCCTGCCCGAAACAACGCACAGCATGTAGCGTGCAACACACAAACATCCCCCCCCCCCACTCCTATAGCCTGATCGTGCTGCTAGTGCAAGTGCTGTCGGCGAGCACCTAAAGAATTACACGGACATAAACAGAAACGCATGGATCAGGGAATGAACACAATTGGGAAGAGTAAATGGACTTAGACAAGACAGGATAATGGCCTATAGGCCAGAATGGTGATGGAATGGTAAACAAAGAAGGGAATACGTCCAAGAGGATGATCTATGTGGATATGGAGTGGTGAGATCCAGGTCACGTACAGGAGCAGCAGCACTGGACTGTGTGGGATATGGAGGCCTTCATCCCGCCGTGGATAGACAATGGCTGATGATGACGATCCACACCTGGAGCATGTGACGAGCATCTTCCTCTCCCATGAGCGCCACGGGGATCGCCACCTCCTCGTACTCCGTCTCGTTACCGCCGGGGGATACCTGCACACACGGACAGGGGGTGGGGCACAGGGCTCTGTGAACATCCGGTGAACCATGACCACAACAACACCGGGCTGTAGAAATATTTACAATTCTCTACCATTAAATGAGTGATGATTTATAGACACCGACTGGAATTGGGCATCCGACAGGAGGGAGTGAGTGATTCTGTGAACTGTCAATTGTTACAATTGTATATCGCTATTCGATTTCGGTATTAATTATGTTATGTTCCATTTCTACAGTCTCAGCTTCGGGGCAATACCGGGATGACTATTATGAACCCACCGGGAATGTCCCATCCAAACTGGGACATTCGGTGGCTTTACCCCCACAGCAGGGTTCAGCTGGTTTTTGTGCGTGATCGAGGCACCACAAAGAGGGTCGGGGCAGTGGTGAGGAACGCGGGCACACACCAGCGGCCTGTGGCTCAGCACCAGTAGCGCGGATGCGCCGTGCACGGCTGCCAACCGCGCCTTGTGATAGAATGAGCAGTTCCCGCGCGTCGCCAACGCCACGGCACCGGCGAAGCCGCCGGGCGGCACGTCACCGGGGAGGCACAGTGGCGTCGGAGCGCCGTCAGCCAGCTGGTGCGGTGTCTGTCAGGACAAAGAGGGAGGAGGCACCAGCACGAGCAGTCGCCATTGTGAGTTCTGAGGGGGAGGAGGTTAGTAAGATGTTGGTGGGGTTAGTGAAAATTTGGTGAGGTTAGTGAGAGGTTGATGGGGTTTGTGAGAGGTTAGTGAGGTTAGAGAGCGGTTGGTTGGGTGAGGGGTTGGTGGGGTTAGTGAAAATTTGGTGAGGTTAATGAGAGGTTGGTGGGGTTGTTGATAGACGTTGTTAGGGCTATTGAAAGAGGTTGGTGGGGTTAATGAGGGGATTCTGATGTGACGGTTTTCTGAGCAAAACGAAAGCTTGGTGATGGTGATGGATTCATGAGTGAGTGATGTAAGCACCTCCTGTGAAATTTAGCGTGACTGGGTTCAAGCCAGGATCCAGTGACGAGATGTTAACTACCTCGCTTAGTATACAAGAGGTAACGGGTTCGATCGCGATCCTGACGCCTGTATATTTAGAGTTTGCGTGTTCTCCCCGTGGTCACTTGCTTTTTTCTCCATGTGCTTAGAGTATTTGGCTGCTGTACAATTGCACATGATAAGCCACTTCGTTGAGCTATAATTTGTGGCCAGGTCGCTTCTGAAAAATACCTGAATAGCCCAGTGGGCCTTGGTAAAAAAAAATGGTTTGGTTTTAATAGTTTAAAAGAACTCACGGCCTTCGTGGGGTCTTGGGGCAGCTCGGCCCAGCGGGGGTTGTAGAGGGTGCAGTACGTGTGCGAGTCTGATACCAACCGCAACAGAGCCATCTCTGCACACACCTGCACAACCACACAAACAGTATTAGCGAGCACCGATGAAAGCCGGGATGGCGCACGAGGGGGTGGTGTGCATGGAACAATCCCCTCCCGCCTTTCTCTCCACATTGGTGATCTTTACTAAATAGCCACGATTGGCTTATATGTACGGTGCGAAATAAGTTCAACATACACACATACATAAGGGAGGCCCAGAACCGGCTCAGATATTCGTCCCTGATGTTGATCATCGGGAATCTAACGCGGGTTGTAGCACAGTGCACTAAGCACTACACTATAGCTCCACACACAACCACTGCACTCCATAAAATTATCCAACAAGCCAGTCCATTAAGTGAGCCTTAATTGTAGAGGATGTAAATAAAATAATAACAAAAAATATAAATGCATGGATTCTGTAAAGTTTTCCAACACGCGTTTACCCTCGCGATAATGTTATACGGTCCAAGATGCACGAGTTGACATCACGTGGAACATGTACACGATGGTGCAAATCAATTCCTCCCAGCCGAACACCTGGGCCCATCCCAGTTGGCACCTTTCGGGAGGGTGGATGACCGAGTGGATGAGTGGTTGGATTAGGGTTGCCACCAGGGCATATTTCTCAGATAATGATAGGTATATCAAGAACTGTGCACTCTACTGCAAGACAGTTCATCACAATGCCACCAGCTCCCGGTACAAATCAAATCATGCCTCCCAAACGCATGACATTCGAAGCGCCTTGTCCTGAACTCACCAATGCTCGACCACTGGGCGCTGGGCTCTGCACGCGTGCGCCACCACGCGCCGGATGAACTTTATCGATCGAGGTCGCCCAAACGGCCGATGTCTCCCGGGAGCCCGGCATCGACCAATCGACACTCGTCCCTGCGACTAGTCCTCCACCCTAACCTCGCCCTTATCGCTCCGGCCAGCGTTTTCTCGCATTGCTCAAGTCACGATTACGTCCGATCACAGCCGCTTACAGTCGAGACTAACGCATTTACGATTGCGGTTTTCATGCTAGAAGATGTTGCTACCGTTACTGCATTACAATTGGGCTCATGGCTACCATCATTGGCCAGTGATGTCTGAAATGATCCTGGGGACACCCCTTCACTAAACCAGCACTGACCAGCGTGGGGAAGTATGGCAAAACAACCCCCACGCCCGACACGGCGTTGGGGGGGGGGGGGTTCAATAAGCATTGTATCGACAAAGGTCTGCAACTTGTTAGTCAAGGCTGCGCTCGTGCTTATTGATCGTATACATTGTATCGATGTACAGGGTGACACTTTATGTGTTCATATTGCATTCGGGGGTTGCGTTGTCAGGTCTCGGCTGTGCAGCCGCAGTCCAGCGTTCCACGTGTGTGCTTCCACGTGTGTGCTCGATTTCCACCGACATGCAATGACCAGCGTGGTGAAGTATGGTCAAACGACCCGTATAGGCGTGGGAAATGCCCTTTAAAAGGGCCGTTAGATAAACACGGACGGTTCCACGAATATTTGCTGCTGCTGCTGTTAGAACTACATTGCGGGCCGCACTCGGTGTTCATTAATTGGTATCTGTAAACAAACAAACCCAAACGACTCGATCTGTTACCGGGGAAACGGGTTTGGCCGTCAGGGCCCGACCCTCTCGGCGATTCGACTCCGTTCGACTTCGTGCGCTCCACTGCCAAAGACCACCCATCTCGACTGTTGCGAATCCATGCACAATGTACAATGTGCAGTATGAGCACGGGCAGTGAGGGACGGCGCTAAATAGAAGCACCGATTCAAGAGCGTTCGTTTGACGTTCTTGATTTCCTTTTGCGCGCAAGAGTCATTGAAATCGAGTTTTAGGAATCGTCAAATCGAATAACGGGACGCCACTTGACGGCTGCGGCCTAACTCCTTTCACGCGGCCTGTGCGAAGGCCTCGGCCTCGCCCGCCGCCGTAGCCGCCCGACCCCACCCCGAGCCCCGCAGGGAATGTAGCACCACGGGGTCCCTCGGGATTGGGAGGCAGTGAGAAACCGCGGTAGGCCTCGCGGAACCCCCCGGCACCTTACGGCCACGCTCCGCGTGCTCGGCTCGCGTTTCCCCGCGCGGGAGGACGCGTCGCGGGTACCTCAATGCCGCCAAACGCCACCAGCAACAGCAGCGACACGACCAGCGGCGAGAGTAGCCGAGCCGCCATGGCGGCTGTGATGTCACTGGTGGCGCGTGACGCGGCGCCGCTATGTTGGATAAGGGAAGGTGGCAGGGGGGCAGTGGCCGCCGCCATCTTGGTCAGGGTGAGGCCAAGATGGCTGCCCTGCACAATGCTGGGTCAAGGTGAGGTCACAGTGGGTCGCTTTCCACAAGACCACAGACAAGTCGGTGTAGCCGCATCAGAGCTAGTAGGCTCGGCTCTTGTTGTTGCTTCTGTAATCGCTATTACCCAATTTACTCTTGCAAACGAGATTACCGTGGCCTCACCTTGTGAAACAAAATAAAGTTCTCTTGGTTTTGATGGAAAGCAGCTAGGAGATTGCAGTATTGGCAATGGATTATTGAATCTATCTGTGCGGGAATGTGCTTCCCCTTCTTACGCGGAGGGTTTCTACTGGCTCTCAGGTCTCTTCCCACACGGAGCTGAACACAGTACACAACTGTACTTCATGGAAGTTGCCAAACTTCCCAATGTAGAAGCACTCTCCAGGAATTACCTTGAACCTCAGCGAGGCATTCCCAGCTAAAGGAATACATGGAAATGTATCCCACAATAGAACAAAAATACTCGATTATTGCATTCATGAGAGCAGCGTTCTTCATTGCACTGGCGGACCTTAGTGCAGCCCCTGAAGTGCGGTCCCAGACAATACCCAAATAGTGAAAACACCTCATCATCATACTCGTCTTGCTGTCAACCCCAATGGTCTCAAATGTGGCGTGCCTCACATTGATGTATCACCCCCCCCCCCCCACCTGAAAAATAGTGAAAAACACTTGCATTCGAGTGATCCCTGAATAGTAGCAATGAAATTGCGAGGTGGGAGCAGGGTCGCCACTCATCTGCCTTGACCCGGACAGTCCTGGAATTGGCATCGATGTTTGGATGGCAGAAATAGATTTGCACCGAGATCTGCTCGGGGTATTGTTGTGTTGAACTTTATTTCAGTACTGGAACTGTACAACTTGAGAAGTATATCCAGGTGTGAAGCAAGCCCCGTCAGGAATATACATCAGTCAAAACGCAATGCACTTAAGGCATTTTATTCACATATGATGATGAAGGCATTTTCTTAACAGGGTCAAGGCATAGCCGTTAACGGGTCTCACTCCTCGTGGCAGAGTTCGATTTGACATCCTCTTGGGGAAATTGGGTGGGGAAGCGAGACACTGAACACAGCCACCGGGGAAGCGATCGCGAGGTGTGGTGGTGACGTCCGCATCGGTGACCTCTTGACCTTAACCACAGCGACCGGTTACTAAACCGGAGCAACAGTTCACTCTTCCAGTGACTTGAAGAATTGTCCCGATTTGGGGGTCACAACTTAAAGCAAATCCTTTCGTTTGTTTGTTGACCTCCTATGTTGCGCCCCACGTTTTCTCAACCCATGAACCGAGTAACATTTGCATGTGTCGTGACATCGCGGACACCCCGTGTGTGTGGGTGTCGTGCCGGCCCAGAGGGGCTCGGGGAGCGTCGAGTCAGAGCGCCGAGTGGCACCACGCTCGGCGTGCTGGGGTCCTGGCCGTTGTCGCTACTCCCAGTGTGTTTAGTGGAGTTAGCCTGGTGGTCCACCACCACAGGTTGTTAACTGGTGAAGGGGCAGTTACCCCTTTGTGTTGGTGTCAATACATGTTGCCTCCAAAGAGTACGTCTGCGACTCAGTTGAACTCACGACACATGTACTGTACAGTCTTTTCATATTATACAAGTCACATATTTGAAGTATCGATTTTGATCAATAAACGTTTGCATTGTTACTGCAAGTCGCGCCGATTCACCACCGAAACACAAGCAGACGGGATTTGTTGTTTAATAGATTTAATGAACGTTGATGAGTGCGTTCGCGCACGGCCTTAATTTAACGAGCCTTACGCAAGCGCAGCTTCCAGGGCGACATCAGTGCAAAAGGAAATGGGAACGTAGTCTCACATCATTAACATGGCCACCATCAATTAATTGCCACAACGTATCATCAACGCGTAAGCACCACGGTCACCATCATTACTACCACGTTCATCATCATCAATGTAGAACCATCACATTCTTGCTAACACCACAAATATGAGCAATAAGTCACCAATATGCAAACCCATTAATCGCATAGTTTTTTGAGAGCAGAAACTGCGTCAAAACTCTTACACTCAAAAGGTTTACACAGTGGTATTGTGCACCACCACTAACACAGAATCACTAAATGTTTACTGTGGTATGAATCTTGACTTAAAGCTTTCGTGACTGCAGGAATTCATATTCTTTGGGTCTTTCGGTAAAGCCACGTAGATATAAAAAAAAGTATCACGACGTTTCGAACGAAACACAAGCAATCGTCATCAGGTGAAACAATATAGCGGGAGAGCTGCTCAAGGTTTGTGGCCATCTCCACAGCTTCGGTGGCGCCCGGTTTTCTTACACTGACATGCTAATCTTATATTAACAGATTGACACAATCTCTCACAATACAATGGCCACCTCCACAGCTTCGTAGTCGTGGAAGTACATCAGCTCTCCGATCTTACATTTACACGCAAATTCCATCTCTAGCCCCGCCCACTTACCCTTGGGCTACACCCATCTCAAACCGATATAACATCCTGCCTCAGCAGCTCTCCCGCTATATTTTTTCATCTGATGACGATTGCTTGTGTTGCGATCGAAACGTCATATTTATTATTTTTTTTCTTCTATCTACGTGGCTTTACCGAAAGACCCAAAGAATATGTAGTATGATTCGTTCTAATAAACAGTATGCAGTAAAACAGGTTAAATAATCGGTAGGGTTAGCAAGCGTGTGATGGCCACCATTATTGCGTAATGTACATGCATCCATCGCTACATCATTCCCATCGCGAACATAGTTTGACAGCCGCTGCCACGATCCTCATGAAGTGAATGCTCCAATAAACAATATTCGGCAAAACCCAGATTTAAATTTAAGTGGTCCCGTTTTAATTAACGTAACTTATAATTTATAAACCATTGCCGTCGAACAGAGCAGGTGTCTGCTTAAAAACATTCGGTGCATTGAGCGGAAGACAATGCACATTTATTCATCCGACGCCTGACATACCCCCCCCCCCCACCCCCTTACCGTGCCATAATTGCAAAACATTTTGATGCAAAACTGTTATTGTGCAAGCTACATTTCTCGGCCCTCCACCACCCAGATGGTCGTAAACAAAAAAAGTGACAGACACCGTGAAACCTGTGAGCAGCAACTCCACCTCCGCCGAGTCAACCGGAGGAACGACGGCATGCGGTGGGCCGAGATGATTTAATTCGAGCTCTAAATCAAGCGACGCAAAAATGCAGCCGCCCACACCCACACCCGTGGCACAACAGTCCAATAAAAAAAAACCTGTGGAAGAAAACGTAGCCAGTTACCCAGTCACTAACGCCACCATTGTGATGCGACAAAACCGTGCATGGAGAAGCTCGGCCGAGCTGTGTAAGTGCGATCCTGCCGTGTGGTTCAGGGGCGATGAATCTCCGCCAGGGAGCAAAAGTGGCTACCCCCAGTCCAGCTGGGCCTCTCTAAATTGTGCACGTGGATAAGCGAGCTGACAAAACTTTATCGCGGCGTTAAAATATCTAAATGTTTAACTCTACATGTATAAAAAAAACACAACAACAATGGTTTGGAGGCGGCACCAGGGCACCATTTGGTCTCGATTTGGAATGTTTTGATGTTTTGATTTTTGAGTCAGGCTTTTTCAGGAGCCGCAGCGTTCTCCCGCCTATAAACAGAGCTTTACGTTGTATTCTGTGTCGGTCTCCCTAACCCCCCCCCACAACCCACCCCTCCTAAAGCTCCCCTATCAAACACAGCCCTCTTTATACTTTACAAGTGACCGAGAGAAAGGAACAGGAACATCATCTAAGTGTTAACGCATCATGTGGCTCGTCCCACCACAAGGGAGAACATTGCTAAAGTTTTCCCCGCACCCCTCGCGTCAGCGATGGCGGCTGCTTGAACAAGAGTCGTCTCCCGTGAGTCGCGACATTACACCGAGCCCGGGAGTCACGAAGATCCGGACCTGCTGAAATAAACAGATTTTTAATTAACCACCGATTGCAATGAGACATGACGACATATGAGGTCACTCTGTGACGCAACTGGAGGGACACTGCCTTGGCACGCAGCTGGCGGTTTGCTATTGCAAAACGTTTGCCCGAGTCGTCGAGACAAGCGCCGCTGAGAGAGCGAGGTTGAGCCGGCTACTGCCGAGAGCACACGCCTGCCCGCTGTGGTTTCACCGCTTTGGGGGCAAGGGTTATTGGCTCGCATGCATTGAGCTGCGAGGTGGTCAGCAGTTCGAAGCAAAGCGTTGTGATGTTGACACGAGGCGCCTAGAGACAATGTCTATTTACAGGACCGAAGAATGAGGGACACTTGACTTGCATTCACGGGCATACACCACCCACCTTGGTTTTGGCACCTCTCCCACACCCCCCCCACACCCCCACCCCACACCCGCTCATGTGCTATCCGGCTGTGGTGTCCACCAGGTGTCGGGAGGCGCCCCCCCCTGACTCCCGCAAGCTCCTCCCGTAGCCCCCCTTGGACTGCATCTGGTGCTGCATCTGTGGGTCAGAGGTTGTCACGACGTGATCAGCAGGGGGAGGACATGGGGGGGCTGGGTTGTTGAGGGCAAGGACAAGGGATGAGGGGAAACTTTCAAAGACAATAAAACAGAAAATCCCCCCAGCGGTTTTTAATCGCACAATCACAGTGTCGTGTTAGGGGACAAAAAATCCATTTGGAAATCTCACAGAGCAGTGAGACCCTTCTTCGTGCTAAAGAATGGCCCGAGGAAGGGGTATCTCGGAACTACGTCTGAAATCCCTTCATGTGACCTCCATTACGCAAAGTAGAGGGAGATCCAGGAGCATTAGATGATGGCCCTGCCCAGCACGTGCACGCTTGAGCGACTCGTACATGCATACCAGGTTCGTGTTGTTGCCTCCGTTGAACATTTCCCCCGAGCCGACGTGCGTCGTGTGCACGAAGTTGGTCGGTTCTCCTATCATGCTCCTGTCGATTCGCCTCCTTCGCGTCTGCGCAGGGGTTAAAGGACGCGGCGGATCAATCGCTGCAGTTGGGGTGGCTGTAACCCGGATTCGAACCCAGGACCTCGGTTACGCCGGCTCGGCGTATCTGATCTCCAAGCCACACGGAAGCCACCTCGCATAGAAATCGATTTTAAATAAATTAATCGTCGCGTTGTGTGATGACGAGGTCGTGATGAAGTTGGCGTAATGATGATGAAGATGGTGACAATGAGGGCACGATGATGTTGTTGTGATGGTGGACGGCCGCAAGACGAGGGTGGATGAAGTGGCGGTGGGGGGGGGGGCGGGACTCACGGGCTGAGGCTGCTCGGCCACGCAGCATCCGAGCGAGATCCAGAACTCGCTCATCTCCACCAGGAACCAACGCCGACTCCGTCACGCTGGGTCACGGGTATACCACGTGTCACCTAGCGTCCACGCACACGTACACATTCCATTAAAGACAAAGATCCCCCGTATAGCCTGAACAGACTTAGGGCAAGTGCTGTTAACGAGCACCTATGAAGGCCGGCACGGCATAGACCATGCCTGGCCGCCTTTGTCTCCTCAGTGGGGATGTTTACACACCACACTAGGTACTAATTCGAGGCCGAGTCGACCTAGGGGAGGCCCAGGACCGGTTCAGATAATCGTCACTGGTGTTGACCGTGAGAGTGAATCGAACTTTGGTCGCCAGGTTCATAGTGCAGCGCGCTAACCACTACACGTGCCATCACACACTAAAACACACACACACAATCAACAATCCGCATTTGCCACCAAGACGCGGTGACATCACTACAACGCTCGTGCCAGGCTAGGTGTACCTTGAGACCAAGTAAAGTGTTGAAGGCTCACCTGGCAAGAGGTCATGAAGCAAACTCTGGTACCATGAGTTAACTGACTGGGATGACTGACGGATGCATCACCTGTGCTGCCTACTTTGCATACTCGCTGTGTTTTTGCTGCCTGGCGCTCCACCTACCTCCAACTGCCCAGTAGTGTCATTTACAAGCCTCCTTCACAGAAGCCAATCTTGAAAGCACTGGTGCCATTCATCAGTTAAGTCCACTCAGATTCACATCTCCCTGTACTGCATAAGCCCATCTCCTCTCTAGCCCGTGCCTGTTTAGCACCCTCTATCCAGCTAAACAGAAGCTGTGTGGCAATGCGGTGGCTGGGAATGTGATGGCTGGGCAAGCGGGCTTCATGACCCAGCGAAAGTAGCCGAGCCTACACATGACGACAAAGAAAAAGATCCCCCGTGTAGCCTTGAACAATTTATGTTAGCGAGCACCTATGAAGGCCGGCACGGCACACAAGGGGGTGGGTGGCCAGCACCACGCCACCACTCCCCACACACACAAAGGCGTGTTGTTTTTTTCAACCAGCCTGGCTGTTTTGTTGTTGTCAATTTGGGTTGTATTTGTAGTCGGTTTATGAAGTCAGGGCCACACTGCTCCTCGGCCACCTCATCGTGTAAAGCTAATTTAATTAGCATTACACAACTCAAAAACGGTAAGTTTTAATCACCCTTACAACTAAAAAAACGGCAAGTTGTAATCACCCTTATTCCGTTTAATTCTGGTAAAACAGGTTACACGACTCGCCTGAGTTTAGCTGGTAATGGCCTGCATGCCATCACCTCTCCTCAGTACCCTATGACTAAAGTACACTTCTTTAACCATTTAAGTTCAAGAAACCTTCCCTCGCACACATGCCACAGCAGGGACACGGGTACCCACTGACCGCCAGCGACTGCCCGTGACCTCCCCGTGACCTCCCCGTGACCTCGTGTCTTGAATAAACGGCTCTACTTCTCCCATTCTGGTAAGCACGTCATCGCTACTCCCATGGTTACTGGTCCCCGTGAACTTCACTCGTTTATTTCTTCACCCATGTTGAAAACTCGGTCTGCCCAACCGTTTTATCTTAACATTTCTGTGTTCAAACCACCACCACACCGCATGTCAAAAATACACTCGACCACTCACTCACAAACTCACACACTCACTCATTCAAAGACAAAGATCCCCCATATAGCCTTAACAGACTGTAGGGGCAAGTGCTGTTAGCGAGGGGGTGGGTGGCCAGCACCACGCCCGTACCGCCTTTGTCTCCCCAGTGGCGATGTTTACACACCGCAACAGGTACTCATTTCAGGCCGAGTCGACCTAGGGGAGGCCCAGGACCGGTTCAAATAATCGTCACTGGTGTTGGCCATGAGTGGGAATCGAACCCGGGTCGCCAGGTTCATAGCGCAGCGCGCTAACCGCTACACTACCGCTCCCCACTCACTCACTCACCCACCCACTCACTCACCCACTCGCTCACTCACTCGCTCACTCACTCACCCACACACTAACTCACTCACTCACCCACTCGCTCACTCACTCACTCACTCACCCACACACTAACTCACCCACTCACTCACCCACTCGCTCACTCACTCACCCACACACTAACTCACTCACTCACCCACTCGCTCACCCACACACTAACTCACCCACTCACTCACCCACTCGCTCACTCACTCACCCACACACTAACTCACTCACTCACCCACTCGCTCACTCACTCACTCACCCACACACTAACTCCCCCACTCACTCACCCACTCGCTCACTCACTCACTCACCCACACACTAACTCACTCACTCACCCACTCGCTCACTCACTCACTCACTCACCCACACACTAACTCACCCACTCACTCACCCACTCGCTCACTCACTCACTCACCCACACACTAACTCACTCACTCACCCACTCGCTCACTCACTCACTCACCCACACACTAACTCACCCACTCACTCACCCACTCGCTCACTCACTCACTCACCCACACACTAACTCACTCACTCACCCACTCGCTCACTCACTCACTCACTCACCCACACACTAACTCACCCACTCACTCACCCACTCGCTCACTCACTCACTCACCCACACACTAACTCACTCACTCACCCACTCGCTCACTCACTCACTCACTCACCCACACACTAACTCACCCACTCACTCACCCGCTCGCTCACTCACTCACTCACCCACACACTAACTCACTCACTCACCCACTCGCTCACTCACTCACTCACCCACACACTAACTCACTCACTCACCCACTCGCTCACTCACTCACTCACCCACACACTAACTCACTCACTCACCCACTCGCTCACTCACTCACTCACCCACACACTAACTCACCCACACACTAACTCACCCACACACTCACTCACCCACACACTAACTCACTCACTCACCCACTCGCTCACTCACTCACTCACTCACCCACACACTAACTCACCCACTCACTCACCCACTCGCTCACTCACTCACTCACCCACACACTAACTCACTCACTCACTCACCCACTCGCTCACTCACTCACTCACTCACCCACACACTAACTCACCCACTCACTCACCCACTCGCTCACTCACTCACTCACCCACACACTAACTCACTCACTCACCCACTCGCTCACTCACTCACTCACCCACACACTAACTCACCCACTCACTCACCCACTCGCTCACTCACTCACTCACCCACACACTAACTCACCCACTCACTCACCCACTCGCTCACTCACTCACTCACCCACACACTAACTCACTCACTCACCCACTCACTCACTCACTCACTCACCCACTCGCTCACTCACTCACTCACCCACACACTCGCTCACTCACTCACTCACCCACTCGCTCACCCACTCACTCACCCACTCGCTCACTCACTCACTCACCCACACACTAACTCACTCACTCACCCACACACTCACTCACTCACCCACTCGCTCACTCACTCACTCACCCACACACTCGCTCACTCACTCACTCACCCACTCGCTCACTCACTCACTCACCCACTCGCTCACTCACTCACTCGCCAACACTGCAGGTCACCTCACTTCTCTTTTTGCTTCTTCCCTCGCACTGCTCCACTTTGGACTCCCTTTCCCATCGTCTCTTCCCCCCCCCGCCCCCAGGCTCTTATAACAAAAATATTGCTCAGTACAAGAAACGTGTCAAATCTTATCGATTACAACGTTGATTATTATGTTTGTTGCAGGCCGAGTAACGTTAGTGGGCCTTTGGGCCTGTAGTCAGTAACAGTATTTCACAAAAAAAAAACCAGATGCGTGGGCGAGCGACTTTCTGTGCGCGGGACGCGCCCCAAAAACCGCAGTCTCCCGCTGCCGTGGCAACAAAACTCGGCAGCAGCAGCGGCAGCGAGATCGTGGTGGTGGTGGTGGGGGTGGCAGTCGTGGTGCTGGTAGTGGTGGGAATGTGGCGAAACCGTGGCGTAGCTGTCGAGTGTGCAGGCAATGAAATTGCACCGGGGCCCACGGCCTGGAGGTCACCGGGCGTCGGGCTAATCGAACATGAGTAATGCTCCCTTCGTGTTTAGCGTTCGTTTAAGTGGCTCGTATAGCCAAACTAAGACTTCCATCGCGTTCAGTCTCTACAGCAGCATAGCTATCGATTGTGCAAGCAGTGTGACTGCAACGGGGCATGGTGGTCGGAGAGGCCCGGACACTGGGCTACGAAGAGGATGGGAAATTGGGACAGGGTGGGGCCCTTTTCATTTTTGGCACCATGGCCCACGCCAACCATGCTAAGCGAAACTGGGGGAAGATGCTGAGCAGGAGACAAGGAGTCATGCACAGCCAACTGACCTTTTGAGCAATCGACTGATCTAGACCCCACTTCTTGTCAAGGAGAAGAGGCAGTGAAACAGACGTGAGGATCCGTTTCTTCGCTGACGGCCGGACAGGGCTTTTAAATACCTTTGGTGGGCCAAACAACAGGTGACAAGTAACTGAGCATGTTATTAACATTACAAAGTGTCGTTCCCAGGTTGAAAGTATTCCCCCCTCTAGTACCCGATTAGTGCTGCCAAGATGCTTGCAGTGATGGGTAAATATAATTTGCTGGCTGTTTAGAAGTTGTAGACCTTGTCTGGCCACGGGCCATGTGAAATGAAGTCACGGGCCACATTTGGGCCACGGGATGTATGTTTCCCGCAAGGCTGAGCCCAGGGTTCTTGGTCAGAGTTCAGCGACGCTGCCTCATTTGTGACCGATTGGTCTGAGGATCGTTTCGAAGCAGTAGGCCTCATGTAGATGCTGACCATGTGAAATTAAATTACGGGCCATGGCTTCACCACTCACAAAATGAACCAATCGGGATTTCGAGATGAGTGGTCTGCAGCCGTTTGCTGGACTCAGCGATAGTGAAATTGCATGTGGCAGCAGCAGTCGCAGCAACAGGAAGTGGGAGGGAAGGTGCCCACACTGATAGGGAAGGTACTAAGATAACATTTTTACAGGGATGGATTGCTGGCTGGTGGGCTGGCTGGGTTGTGAGCTGGATGAATGGCGGGCTGGGCGAGTGGTTGGTTGGCTGGGTGAGTGGTGTGCTTGCTGAATGGATATTGGGCTGAATAGGTGGATGGGGGGCTGACTGATTGACATGGGGAACAATGCAGAATGGTACTGCAGCAGGGGTGTGTTCTGAAGAGAACAGACGCCACGCCACTCACAGCTGGCACAAGCACGCACACACACACATAGGCACGGCGCATATATCAGGTATCACACCACGCACACACACACCAAACACCACATACACATCAGACACACATCCGTACGAGGTAACACACGCAACGTTTAAATTACATACTACACCACACACACTTATTAGACACCACACCCAGTAAACACCAGACGCCATACACAAAACGCACAACACATAAACCAAACAGCACACACGACTCAATACACCAGGAAACACACGTCAGACACTACAATACTGTAAAAACCAAATACACACCCCAGGAAACACACACACTAAATAAACCCCGCACATAAACCATATAGCCTCACCAAACGGCAGGGTTCAACAAACACCACAACCAATGAACCAACCAAACGCCTCCACCACCTACCACACCACCATCTACCACCCCACCACACCACCAACTAACACACCACCACCACCACCGATAACACCACCAACTACCACCCCACCACCATCTACCACCACACCACCACCTACAACACCAACATCTTTCACAACACCACCTTCCACGCCACCACTTACAACACTACCACACCACCACTTACAACACTACCACACCACCACTGACAACACTACCACCACCCCACCAACTACCACACCACCACCACCTACCACCCCACCACCATCTACCACCACACCACACCACCAACTAACACACCACCACCACCGACAACACCACCAACTACCACCCCACCACAATCTACCACCACACCACACCACCACCTACAACACCACCATCTTTCACAACACCACCTACCACACCACCACTTACAACACTACCACACCACCACTTACAACACTACCACCACTCCACCAACTACCACACCACCACCATCTACCACCCCACCATCTACCACCCCACCACACCACCAACACATCACCATCTTTCACAACACCACCTACAACACCACCATCTTTCACAACACCACCTACCACACCACCACCATACCACCAACTACCACCCACCACCATCTACCAGACAACCGTCTACCACACCACCACCTACAACACCACCACCACCCCACCAACTACCACACCACCACCATCTACCACCCCACCATTAACTACCACCATCTACCACACCACCACTTACAACACTACCACCACCACCCCACCAATTCACCATCTACCACCCCACCACCGTCTACCACACTACCACCTACCACACTACCACCACCACCTACCACACTACCACCACCACCTATCACACCACCACCACCTACCACACCACCACCACCTACCACACCACCACCTACCACACCACCACCACCTACCACACCACCGCTTCCCACCACCACCACCTACCACACCACCACCACCTACCACACCACCACCACCTACCACACCACCACCACCTACCACACCACCACCACCTACCACACCACCTACCACACCACCTACCACGCCACCACCACCTACCACCACCTACCACACCACCACCACCTACCACACCACCTACCACGCCACCTACCACCTACCACCACCTACCACACCACCACCACCTACCACACCACCACCACCTACCACGCCACCGCTTCCCACCACCCCACCCAATCCCTTGTCGAGTCGTTACCACGCTCAAGTCGAAGGCTCCGACTCGCCTTTAACCCACTACATTCGCCTCTTCGTCATCATCATCCATGACCAATCCATTGCTGGACGAAATGCTTAAGCAATAACTAAAATGAACGCTGTACACCAACCTTCCCACTCTCCTACACCCCCCCCCCCCCCCGTGCGTCATGTGCCGTGTGATTTCACCGCAGTGAAGGTTTAACCAACTCCACGTTTCTTATTTAAACAACAATGTGCAGTGTACGTATACAGCGTACAGCCCCTTTGCCAATACACTTCTGGATGAAGGCATCCGACACAACAAGCATGCAGGTCATGTTGGGGGGGGGGGGTTGTTTGACCATACTTCACCAAACCGGTCAATACGGGTTGGAGGTGGCGGCGAGAGCAAAGGCGTGGCAGCGTAGAGGTACAGTACAACACATTGATTTTGCAGCAGCCTATAGCAACGTGTTGTGCATGGTGGTTGTCGCCCATCCACAAGCACTGTCCAGGGTCAAGCCCTGCTCAGCTTCCGAGATGAGATCCGACACATTCCGGTTGATTTGCTCATAGGTCAGGCGCTGCTGTATTTAAAGAGCAAACAGCAATCCCCTCAATGTTTACACACAGAACCTGGGGTCCACTGCCTCTAGCATCTTCCCCGTGTCTCCTGTCTTTGGTCAGCCCCTGCGTGTCTCTCTGTCCCACGGCGTCTCCTGTCTCACACCCCGTTCCACGTGGATGTCCCCCCCCGTGTCTCACCTCTCCCGGTCCCCGTGTCCTCACGAGCCGCGCCGACGTCTCCTCCTCCCTCCTCCTCCTCCGCCGCCGCCACCGGCTTCTTGTTTGGAACAACCCCGCGACGTTCCGGCTGCAGATGTTCCAGCCCAGCCCGGGTGCAGATGTTCCAGCCCAGCCCGGCTGCAAGGGAAGTCCTCGTCTATCCCCGGCGCGGATCTCTCCCCGTTTGGATGACCTCTTGTTCGATTGCGCTTAAAAGAGTCCTCGCTCGGCCGCAGAAATAAATGTTTAAAAAAAGACCCCGAAACGACTCCGGCCTTTAGTTACTCCGAGGCCCAGAATCGGTGGCGGGCGAAGGATCCGCGGGCTCGTGGGCGTCGAGTCGGAGACGCGGCGACCACTCGCGGTGCAGCCGGCCCAACCCACGGGGCCACGCTTCCTCCGCGTTTGAATCGACAGCGGAAGTGACGTCACGCGTGGGCGGGGCCAATAAATAAATAAATATCTACTCCGCCCACTCGCAGGGCGTGCGCGCGCCCCGTTGATTGACGTGCGGACTCTGTACCCCCCCCCCCCCCCACATAACATTTAGTTTAATTACTGAAAGAACCAATAATAAGTCTACATTATAGACTGCCAGAACACTCGCTCAGGTTAATAACCAGGCAACAGTCTAAATTATAGACTGCCAGTACACTGACTCAGCTTAATAACCAGGCTACAGTCTACATTATAGCCAGTACACTCACCCAGATTAATAACCAGGCTACAGTCTACATTATAGCCAGTACACTCACCCAGCTTAATAACCAGGCCACAGTCTACATTATAGACTGCCAGTACACTCACCAAACTTAATAACCAGGCTACAGTCTACATTATAGACAGCCAGTACACGCACCAAACTTAATAACCAGGCTACAGTCTACATTATAGACTGCCAATACGCTCACCCAGCTTAATAACCAGACTACAGTCTACATTATAGACTGCTAGTACGCTCACCAAACTTAATAACCAGGCTACAGTCTACAATATAGACTCACTCTGAGTAAGCACCAGGCTACATTAGTGTTTTTATTTTATTAGTATTATTTAAAATTTGTATTCACTTCATATATTTTTTTATTATTTTTCTATATACGTGACTTTACCGAAAGAACCAAAGAATATGAATTCCTGCAGTCACAACAGTTAAGTGTAAAGTAACCTACACTTAGGTTATACGCACCAAACCAACCTTCGCCCTGCCATATATAACAAGGCCACGTGGGAACGTTTTAATTTGAACCCAAATTATGTGAACAGCACGATCATACGTCATCGCTTGCAGGATGTAATCCATCTCTGCCTGCGTCTCATCTGCTTTAACGCCAGTTTCCTTAATTGGCCAACGCTGTAATTGCCACGCATGTGAATTACCGTGGCTTGTGTGCAAACACCTCTCCTCTTCTTCACAATTCCCTTCCACCGCAGTCTCAAGCTCGCACTGAACTGCAATAACCTTGCTCAAGAAAGGCATGCAACGCCTCTCGATTGCAACAGAGGCCCATGTGATGTACAAGCGACCAGCAACGAACAGCCGATTGCTCGAGGTTCAACACGCAACTCTGACAGTGCCGTACTGTTTGTTCCTGGCCGCTTGGTGTCACACGGGCCTTTGGACCGCACAAATTAACACATGCCGGGCCGTGTATCACTGCTGCGAAACACCACAGAGTACCCCTCCGTGCTCGGAGCACCAAAGCAAAATAGCCCCCAATTCCTCCCAACCCTCCTGCACCCCCCCCCCAGCCCAGCATGAACAGACTGTTGGGGCAAGTGCTGTTAGCGAGTAGCACCTATGAAGGCTGCTGGCACGGCACACACGAGAGGGGTGGGTGGCCAGCACCTACGCCCAAACACAATCCCGTACAGACACAAAAGACAAATATCCCCCCGTAAAGCCTTAACAGACTTAAGAGAAGCACCTATGAAGGCCGACAGGTCGGCGTGCGGCGTTATCAACACGGGACACATGAAACGTCAACAAATAATCCACGGCGAGGTGCAGGCGCATCGCGGATCGCTCTTTATTGGTGGACAAAGCGACAACATCGACAGTCGTAGGGCGGGCAGGAGAACGCGGGCTGCCTTGTCTTTTAAACATGGGGGCGAAAGGAGGGGTCCCAATTCAAGTGTTGGTGAAGAGAGAGGAAGTTTCCACCAATTATCCTACTGATGAATGATGAGCCCCTATTTCGTTTCTTAAGATTTGGCTGTTTGGGGAGAATAGTTCGGTCATGAAATCAGGCCTGAAACGACGAGCAAAATCCAGGCAAACGTGTCGTCACACGCCCTCTTCTTTAGTCCGGAGTCCAGAGCGCTGGTATTCCCAAGATTCTGAGAAAAGCTGGAATGGCAAGCGAGCGCATGCTTGCAGTAACAATGTAACAATGCAGAGCCCCGTTTGTCGATGCACTGCTGAACAAGGGCCTCCCGCACCGTGCAGGTTGTGCGCGGAGGGTTGTTCGGCCGTACTTCACCATGCTGGTCAGTGCAGGTTGGCGGTGGTGGCGGGGGGGATGGGGGGCATAGAAGTAAAATACAACAATGGATCTTTCCGTACTGCCTTCTGTCCACAACGTACATCTGCAGCAGCCTATTGCAAACCCATGTGCATGGTGGTCATTACCTATCCAGGCACTATCCAAGCTCAACCCTGCTTAGCTCTTGGGACCCGACGACGGGTCTCAGCGTGGCGGTTCCTGCGAGCCCTCGGTGGGACACTCGGGGGACCCTTGGGGTGCCCTTAGGGGGTCCTGGGGGGCCAGTGCAGGGTAGATGACGGAGTGGGGGAGGGGGACAGGTGCCAGTGATGAGCTCTTGTTAACAGCACTTAGGAATGCTCCCGGCAGGCGGAGGGCCCTCCTCCATGTGCTCCTTGGATGGGTTGATGCCTGGAAGGTGGACAAGAAGAGTGAGCGAGCGGCAATCCACTCAGTACAGCACAGCACAGGAATGATGGAATGGCCTTAACGTTCATGAACCCAGCCCCCACTGAAAGTAACCCCCTGCTCGCGATGCTGATGGTCGTTGAATCGGCACTACAGGTGTTGTGATGGTGGCACTGCTGATAGTGATGGCGGCTTTTCCGGTGATGATGGTATGTTGCTGTGTGAGTGTGTCAGTGTGACGGTGTGTCGCTGTGTCCATGTGTTTGTGTGATGGTGTGATGCCCTATCGGAGTGTCCTTGTGACTGTGTCAGGGTAATGGTGTCAGTATGGTGTCGGTATGATGGTGTCATTGTGTCAGCGTGTTTGGGTTGTCGATGTAATAGTGTCGGTGTGATGGTGTCAGTGTGATGGTTTCGGTGTGATGGTGTATCAGCGTGTTAGCTTGTCAATGTAATGCTGTCGGTGTAATGGTGTCGGTGTGATGGTGTCGGTGTGATGGTTTTGGAGTGACGGTGTGACGGTGTGATGGTGTATCAGCATGTTGGCGTATCGGTGTAATGGTGTCGGTGTAATGGCGTTGGTGTGATGATTTTGGAGTGACGATGTGTCAGCGTGTTGGCTCGTCAATGTAATGGTCTCGGTGTAATGGTGTCCGTGTGATGGTGACGGTGTGTTGGCCTTGGCGTGAGTGTGAGGAGCTCACGCAGGGCCCCGGACTCCATGACCTCTGCTTGCACCACAGACGTCCTCAGAACCAGTTCCACGTCGCTGCCAAACTTGAGCAGCTGTAAAAGCGTAGGTCAGAGGTCAGCTCATAGGGCCACGGGGTCACCGACAGCTCCCCCTTCAATGCGACGGGTTCCATCCTCACCTCGGTGATCTTGTCGGGTGACAACTCCTGCCGGTTCTTCTCAAACTCCACGTTGATCATTTTCCGTACGGCTTCAACGAGAGAGATGATGACGCACGCGCAGGTAAAGCGGCAATGTTTCATCATCATGAGGTATGATCAATTCAAGTCGTGGCCATCTCTCGCAATCCTGTGACGATGCTTATGAAGAAAAAAATTATCAGACTACTGGAGGAATCCAATAAGCTATAAAACTCTTTTTCACAGATGTCCAGTAAATGTATAAGATCACTGCTCTCCTATCCATAGCGATTGAAATTAATAACAAACCAATGATTGTCTAGCCTTTTGCCACAGTTTCAATGCACTAACGATTACCATGCCAGTCAAGACGTTGGAGTGGTGATATCCTTGCCTTTAACCAGCAGTGGATTGATCATGGCTGATCATGCGGTTGTCAGACGCAGATACCTCGCCCCTAAAAATGTCACCGCCGAGGACCAAATGATCCAGAATGCACCTGGTTCTCGTCAGATCTCACCAGCCAAGCAGATTTGAGTCCGGATAGCGAGAGGATGAACGACCGCCTGCCTCCACAGTGCACAACTCGTGTTACAGGTTTGCTTCGGAGATTCGTTGTGGGCAGCAGGGGATGGGGTGAGTGGGGGGCTTGCAGCAAAATAAATTGTTCTCTACCGCTATGTTGTTGTCACGTGTAAGCTCCTCGCCTGGTGAAGTATGTTTCAGATAACCTCCAAAGACGACCCGCAAAGCCGTGGGGAAGGAGAGGGGGGGGGGCTCATCCAGCAGTGGATGGTTCCAGTGGTGGCTGGCTGCACACTGCCACCACTCACCATCCAGGCTCGCCGCGTCGTCCCGGAACACGTGCCTCCGCGTCTTGTGCAGGGCGCGGAAGAGGGACAACACCTTGGGGGGAGGCCGGGGTAGACAGACAAAGATGCCCCCCCCCCCACCACATTTAGTGACACGCGCTGTTGGGGCCAGGTGCTGTTGGCGAGCACCTATTAAGGCACGCACGGGGCACGAGTGTGACAAGGGCCCCTCTGCCCCATCCTCAAGTGCTGATGTGTACACAGTCCGTACAAGGTACTAATTTCAGGCTGAGCAGAACTAAGGGAGGCACAGGACGTATTTCAGATAAGTCTCGCCACTGATGTTAACCGCGGTCTGGTAGCGAACTCAAGTGTAAAAGTGCGTAGCGCAGTGCGCTAACTACTGCGCCAGTGATCGTTATCACCCCCCACCCAATCATCAACGGTGACGTTACCATGCACGTTTTGTGCCGGGCTAGGCTGTCACAGCAGCGTGGAAGGCTCGCTGCTGGCAGCATGTCACTGCTCAGACCCAGGTGCTATGGGTGAAGTGCCGGAAATAATTGTCAGATGCGTCCACCACCCACATCACCCCCATCACCAACATCACCAACTCCCCACGTGAGCTCCATCGTTCGCGCGACCCCGCGACCTTGTCCACCCATCACTGAGCGCCCACTGCACCCCCATCAAGGCGGGTGGTGGTCTCGGGGGTTTCTACACGGGACCCAGCGAGCGGGTTCCACCCCGCGGGAGCAGGGAGACACGGGGGGACACGGGGGGACCCCGCGGGGAGCGAGGGGAGACGCGGGTCACCTGTGCCCTGGCCGCCATGCGTACGTCTCGCGTCTCCTGCTCCTCCCACGTGCTCCCAACTCGCGAAATATGACGTCATGTGCTTACATTTCGCGGAGGGGGGACATGACGTCACGAAAAAGTGAGCAGTGCCATAGCAGCACGTGCGGATTACCAGCGGTCGACGTCACGGAATTATTTGGTCAACATGAATGTGACGTCACGCACAAAGGTTGGCACGTCATATCGTGGCGGTTGTGCCGCGTGTATGACGTCACGGAACCTCAGTACATGTCGTTGCATGCCGCATCGGATGACGTCACATCCACGATCATTACTGAATAAACGAGCTCTTAAATGCGCGACCACTATTTTGCCTTTGCAATAATTAGCAAAATTAAGTCGTTAATTAAAAGTGCATTTTTTTGTCCCGAATGCAAATTCTGAAAAAGCTGCACGCGAACCGATTGAGAATGAATCGATTCATTCGAATTTACTGCACGTTCTGTTCCGAGAGGGATCGAAATCGATAACGCGTATTATAGTGGAATCGATAACGCGTGTTATAGTGGAATCGAAAAGCGCGTGTTATAGTGGAATCGATAACGCGTGTTATAGTGGAATCGATAACGCGTGTTATAGTGGAATCGATAACGCGTGTTATAGTGGAATCGATAACGCGTATTATAGTGGAATCGATAACGTGTGTGTAGTGGAATCGATAACGCGTGTTATAGTGGAATCGATAACGCGTGTGTAGTGGAATCGATAACGCGTGTTTTAGTGGAATCGATATCGCGTGTGTAGTGGAATCGACTTGCCTGCGTGGATCGGAATCGGCTGTTGTCGTCGTTGCCGGAATCGGATCGCCGCGTCTCTGTCTGACAGTGCAGCAGTGGAGAGAGCGGCAGCAGCAGCAGCAGGAGCAGCAGCAGGAGCAGCAGGAGATTGAAGAGGCGCCATGTGTGACGAGGTGGCCAAGGCGCAGGCGGCTCGGCCCGGGGGTGACACCATCTTCGGCAAGATCATCCGCAAAGAGATTCCAGCCAACATCATCCACGAAGACGAGCAGGTGGGCCGCTGTGTTGCACGCGGCCTGCGTGAGTGCCGCTTGCGACGACCGGGCGACTCTTGATTGAAATTGCGGGCGACACGTGGGCGACTACTTGGGACGACACGCGCGCGTGTGTCGGTCGTGAGGGTTGCTTGACCATACTTCACCACGCTGGTCACTGGCGCGAGGGTTTCGGATGTAATTCGCCACGCCTGGGCCACTCGGCCCCACGGGGGGGGGGACGAGTTTTCATTTGACAGCCACGTGGCGTCCCGGGGTCACGACGTCGATGCGATTTGCAATCGCGGGTTGCTGACCAGTTAGTCCGCAATGCGCCCCGGTCGCACCGACTCCCGGGAGCGAAGCAGCCAGGGGAGTCGTGGTGGTGGGGAGTCGTGGTGGTGGTGAGGAATCGTGGTGGTTGTGGGGAGTCGTGGTGGTGGTGGGGAGTTGTTGGGGTGGGGAGTCGTGGTGGTGGTGGTGGTGGTGGGGAGTCGTGGTGGTGGTGGGGAGTCGTGGTGGTGGTGAGTCGTGGTGCTGGTGGTGGGGAGTCGTGGTGGTGGTGGGGAGTTGTTGGGGTGGGGTGTCGTGGTGGTGGTGGGGAGTTGTGGTGGTGGTGGGGAGTGGTGGTGGTGGTGGGGAGTCGTGGTGGGGAGTGGTGGTGGGGAGTCGTGGTGGTGGTGGTGGGGAGTGGTGGTGGGGAGTCGTGGTGGTGGTGGTGAGTCGTGGGGAGTGGTGGTGGTGGTGGGGAGTGGTGGTGGGGAGGGTGGGGAGGGGCTGGGTGGAGAGGGGCTGGTCACCCCGTGGTGCCCTTATAAAACTCAACGTTTAACCTACTCACGCCGGCTTGTGCCCGCCCTCACAGTCAGGCATATTTGCGGAATACACCACGCCGCCGTTGACCCTGGCCATTGACCGAGCAACCCAACGTTCCTACCAGCTCCCTCTGCAGGAATGTGTTAGAGCATGCGAGCGTTTCGAGTATTGATGGTGTTTGACGCTCTGTTCAGTGCGGGTTGGTGAAGAGTGTGAGCACAGAGGCACTCCCGTTACATTGGGTGGCTGGTTTCTTTAGGACCGCTTTTTGTGTTTCAATTTGTTGTCGTTCCCTTTAGCGATTAGCACGGTTGGCTATAACGTACGGTGCGAAAGGAGTTCAACGTACGGACGTGCATCATACATACACGGGCGTTGACTCCCGTGTCACAGCATCGAGCAGGATCCATGAATGTGTGTGTGTCGCTGGCACGTGTGCGCGTGTGTGTGTGTGCGCAGTGTATCGTATTCCACGACGTGGCCCCCCAGGCCCCCACCCATCTCCTGGTCGTGCCCAAGAAGGTGATCCCTGGCCTTCCCAACGCCACTGCCGAGGACCAAGCGGTGAGCATCCCCCGGCAAGGGGATAAGGCAGGGGTTGAAGAACGTTTTCCCTTCGTGGGGGCCGAATAACAGCTTTAGCGGGCACAAAGACCCCCCTAATAGCGTTGACGGATTGTTGGGGCGAGTGCTGTTAGCGAGCACCTATTAAGACGGCCCGCATGGCACACGAGGGCGTGGGTGGCCAGCACCAAGCCCGGCCGTCCTTGTCTCCCTCGTGGCAAAGTTTTTACACACCGCACTAGGTACTCCGTTGAGGCTGAGTCGACCTAGGGGAGGCCCTGGACCAGTTCAGATAATCGTAACTGGTATAGGCCGTGAGCGAGAAACGAATTCGGGTCGCCGGGTTCGTAGCGAAGTGCGCGAACCGTTGCCACTCCCCACTTAGCGGACACTGCTTCCCATATTAACGCAAAAAGTAACGTGTGCGCCGGCCAAGTATAGAGGCCCGTTGCAGCGATGGAAGTGACCGAGTGTGGTGCTAAAATTAGAGACGGTGTTGCTGCCAGGTTGATTGGAAGTGTTGTTGTTGCTGGCCACACCACCACCTCGTGAGCACCTGGCAGCTTTGATAGGGGCTCGCTTAACCCTTTCCCGTTCCGATGACGTATGTGTACATCATCAAAACGAAAGCGGAAGAAAAACTAAAATAAAATAACTTTATCGGTTCCGAGGCTACCAAAAAGCTCTGCGGAAGGTCGTGTGGCACAGTTTGGCACCAGCTATCATAGAGTGCTGTCGTGTCACTACAGATCTCTGCGATGAGTACAATGTCTTTATGAAGAATGGCGTTACGCCTCTCTAATTACAATTAACGCCAAGCCGTTTGGGCGTTCCGAGATTCGGTGGTGAACTGGACACCGACCCTGCAATTTGCAGGCGTCTCGGAATGGGAAACAGTGAAGAGCACTCGTTCAGACAGTCCATTAGAGGCTACACAGGATATCTTTTGTGAGCATGTCCGTGTACACTCATTCTACCGTATGCACGCGTACCAGTGTGTCACCGTACACGTGTGCATATGTGTTTGCCTGCGCGCAGTTGCTCGGACACCTGATGCTGGTGGCGGCGAAGGTGGCCGCGCAGGTCGGCCTGACCAGCGGCTACCGCCTGGTGCTAAACGACGGGCCCGAGGGTGGCCAGTCCGTCTACCACCTGCACCTGCACGTGCTGGGCGGGCGCCAGCTGGGCTGGCCCCCGGGCTAAACCCCGCGCCACCGCTGCCCTCCTCCTCCTGCGATGGAACGCATGCACTCGAGACGCGGCGGCCAGTTTCCCCTTGGGATGCAGCATACTGCGAGCCGCAACCACCCTTGTGGGGGGACCAGCGATGAGCAGGTCCGCATCGGGTTTTAAAACGCCCCCCCCACCACTCCCTCCGGCTATGAATGACAGACCCTGTCAGTGGCACTGCATGTGAAGCTCACGACAAGACACGAGGAGGAGTTGGCAAAACCCTTGCCGGGTTGCTTGGCAGCCTGCAGACATGCATTGTGGTCTGGGTGTCGCTTTTCCTGCCATTGACGTCAATAAAATCTTAAACTGTGGGCTGTGTGGGGTCGTGGTGTGTGTGGTGCGGTGCGCGGGATGGATCCGTGGTTTGTAAAGGGCATCCCGTGCCTTCACTGCCCCGTGGTCATTATACCGGCACAGTGGTCTACTTTCACAAACATCGTCACGGTGTCTTTATCGTCCCCATGACGAGCGTGCTGCCAGTGATGGTGACTACCACAAGGCAATATTGGGCACTAATAAGCAATGAATTGAGTATCGCTAACAGTATGGACGTTATATTACTGGTAGGAACCTCCTGGTTACACCAGCCCACAGGGGATTATTGTGTCTGTCCGTCGTGCATCCAAAAATGGGAGGGGTGGGGCTGGGTGGAGAGGGGAGGGTGGGGGCTGGGTGGGGTGGGGCTGGTCACCCCGTGGTGCCCTTATAAAACTCAACGTTTAACCTCCTCACGCCGGCTTGTGCCTGCCCTCACAGTCGGCCATATTTCCGGAATACACCACGCCGCCGTTGACCCTGGCCATTGACCGAGCAACCCAACGTTCCTACCAGCTCCCTCCACAGGAATGTGTTCCGTGAGTTCAAATTTGTGCAATTCATCCACGATAGGCACAAGAAGTATACATGCATGAACCAATTCAATTCGTTGGTGTATTTGCGAGGGTGCCACTCAAAATTCAACTTCGTATTTTCAAGTTCACGCCTCTTGATTGTATTAATTTTCCTGTTAATTCACTGCAAGTTTAAAGATGATCCTTCAACCGGTTGCTTGACGGCATTGAGATATGAATCAGGCAATACATATCAAGTCGGAGTATAGAGGCATAAATGCAGAAAATAAGGGGATCGTGAGCAACCTGAGCAGTTGACTGTTACACTCAAGCAAGATTGAGAGGAGGGTGTGATCCCAGTGGCACCGTAGTGAGTATATCCCAGTGGGGGCCAGGAAGGCAGACCCTAGGAGTGGGGAACATTCCAGAAATAAGAATATGATGCACGTATGGTACGATAGTTTAACATCCCTGTAGAGTTACACAACTAGACACTACGTGTGTCCACATGTGGTCAACGCTCTACTGCTACACAGGGGCCCCCTTCTGACGGCAGTCCTGGAATGCTCAGATGGCGATGGTGGGAGTCCTTGTGGAGCCAGACGTAGCGTACCCACTGGGATTCATGTCTCGCGGAGTATCGTCCACATCGACGGTAGACTGACCAGAGTAGGCACATGACTAGTACAGTCGCAAGACGTTGACGGGATGTGAATTGCTGGGTGTGGAAATATTTTCCGCGTTGCCCGACCCCGCCCGACTGAGACTAATCCCTCTGTTAACGATGACGCTGCGGCCCGACTCATCCCTGACGAGACGGCTTGCAGCAGTCATCGTACGGAGTGGTCAGAGTGCTTGCAGCTTCTCCATCCCTTCTGCTCGGATTGCAGTCCTCTTCCCTGTTGCTGTGCACTCACGGCGTGCACCTGACCACGTTGACACTCTGGGCCACTCCGGAAGCCCCACGGGGCCTCCTTTGTCGCGCAGTGACCTTGCCCAGTGCGAGCCAGACCGACACGGTGGGAGTGATCATGGCAAGCATTTATTGATGGCAGTCATTGCTCTTGAGTGGGCAGGGCTGGTCGCTCTACAACACCGAGGGATGAGCGCGAGGGATTAGCAGAGGGTTAGCGGGGGGGGGGGGCCGGACACTGGCCCCAAAACGCGGCGACGTCACCGCTATTGCTTGATTAGTCTTAATTACTAGCGCTGCTGCACACGAAGGGAGGGAGATCCACGCCGTCGCGTCCACCAGGACGAACCTTCGTCGTGCGGACGAGGTGCGGACAGACACGACCGCGGCGGCGTAGCTATCGGGAGTGCACAGCCGGTGCCCAAGTTTCTAGCTACATTCGAGGGAAACTGGGACGGGTCCTCAATATCATTCCTCGCACCAAGCGGCAGTGCCAACCGTGCTACGCCACCGCGGGACCGACAGCGTCACTGCCACGCTCGGCACACGGGGCCCCAAATGAGGCCTCACACGTGGGAGATACACAATTGCACTGAATGCGGTATAGGTCTAAAGTTAAATATATATACACATGCCTCTCTCTCTGAGCCCTTAACATCTGGTCGGTGGCAGCAGAAGGTGAAATACTGATTGGGGTTGGAGGTCAGGTGCAGCAGTCAACGGCTGCCACTAGGCGGCGCTGTAGACGGAGAAACGAAAGAGGCCCCAACACCGAAAAGGCGATCACATTGCAATGGCGATGGGTGGGCAAATGAGTCTGTGGAAGGAGTGCACTAACCAATCAAACGTTAGCCCTACCCAACAAGCCGACCAGACACTGGTCCTCCCAATTGACCCTATACCCTAACCCCACTTCCAGTGCTTTGGCGGGGCCTCTGGTTAACTTTGCCTACTTTCCAATTCGAGAGTTTGCAGCACCTGTAACATGAGAATGCAGAGTGGCGGCATGAGGTGGGATTTGTATTGCAGACCACGTGATTGTGTCCCCGATAGTTTGGTTGTTTGTGACCTTTTAAATCGGTTAACGAGTGACAGGATGACAGCACCAGAGAACGTGTTTAAGAGGTGCAGTGGCTCGACTCTAAAACATCTTTGGGATGGGGGGACGGCACTCCATTCCGTCTGGGGCCCCTGGCAGTCTGCTCTTGTAGGCACATTCTCTGAAGACGGCGATGCCAAGGTCACTCTTGCAAATGAGATAACCCTGGTCGCTTGAAGTCTCCTCTGGCTACATCAATAAACTTGACATTCATGAGAAACAGACTTGAAAATCTCAGTCGGGTGTATTCACCATTGCAGAGGAACTCTGTCCCCGTTTGTCCTCTTTGATCATTCTCTTATCCCCTCCATCCAAGACTTCATTGAGAAGTTACCCCCTTTCTGATCGCCATGCTCACACACTCCTGCCTGGTCGATTGACTGTGGAGAACGCCCCTCCCCAGTGTTTGCGGCACGGTTTGAAAATGAGTCCTTCGCCACCACCAACCACAGCTCCCGCGGAGACATCATTGCCTCCGTCATCATCATCAGCAGCAGCCAGCAACACGGGATGATGGCATTTGGGCCAGACAACAGATGCAGGGGGTAGCAGCAGTAAGAGCAGCAACAACAGCAAAGGACGGGGATGCGCGTACACAAACGAAGACCGACGAGCAAAGTGAGACGCATGGCAAGTGTCCAGCTCCAACATAGCAGCAGCAGCAGCAGCATCATCAACAACGTTAACACCGTCAACATCATCAACAGCAATAGCAGCTGCCTGGACAAACCTGGAACACAGTAACGGTAACAGCAGCATCAAGAGCAAATGTTTTAGCAAGGACTGTGTCGAACCGCTTGTTTTCGTTCTGGTAAGTGACCTGAATGGCAGCACTTGTTACAACTTCACGCTGTTTAGTTTGGTCAAACAATTTTAACTTTTTGTCACAAAGTATAATTTTGTAGGGGTGTTAAAGAGAGGGCCCGTTATGCATGGCAGCCTATGGAAAACAAACACAGTGGGCGGGGCTACGTAAGTGCACGAGCAAGTGCTCTCTACGACGTCCGAGCCAGACACCCTGGGGGGGGGCTGGTTCGAACGTTATGATCCCCCGGGGCCCCACCCCTCAGGGAGGGGTTGGGTATAAAAGGGGATGTTTCAAAGGGCTCGGCAGTTATGTTTAAGCTAAGGGAAGAAGATTGAAGACGTCTTAGATAGAGCCCTGGACTCCCCTGGTTCGATGTCCTTTTCAGGGCCGGACAGGATTGAGCCAGCGGCGTGGTCCCGAAAGCCAGAGCCGGTGCTCTTGTAAGAGCTGGTCTGGAACTCCGGGTACCGGGCCCGACTTACCAGTGTCGGGCCAGTTAGCCTCCCCTAGCCCATTAGTGGAGGATTCGGGGCTAGGACAGAGTTAGCTAGGGGTGTATCCCGAGTTATACGGGTGAGGGGGCCGATACCCCCTCGAGAGTGTATATGCCCACTGTCATACTGTGAAATAAATATACGTGTGCCTCAACCTCGGCGTCAAGCGTCTTCACCGGTACTTCAATTTCATCACCAACCTTCCTCCTCACTCAAACAACGACCTTAAAAGCAGGGGTGAGGAACCCACGGGCCCATGAGCCAGACACGGCTCGTAACTTCATCTCACTCGGCCCACGACTCCATCTCACACAGCCCACGACTTCATCTTACACAGCCCACGACTCCATCCCACACAGCCCACGACTTCATCTCACACAGCCCACGACTCCATCTCACACAGCCCACGACTCCATCCCACACAGCCCACGACTTCATCTCACACAGCCCACGACTCCATCCCACACAGCCCACGACTCCATCCCACACAGCCCACGACTTCATCTCACACAGCCCACGACTCCATCTCACACAGCCCACGACTCCATCTCACACAGCCCACGACTCCATCTCACACAGCCCACGACTTCATCTCACACAGCCCACGACTCCATCCCACACAGCCCACGACTCCATCCCACACAGCCCACGACTTCATCTCACACAGCCCACGACTCCATCTCACACAGCCCACGACTCCATCCCACACAGCCCACGACTCCATCTCACACAGCCCACGATTTCATCTCACACAGCCCACGACTCCATCCCACACAGCCCACGACTTCATCTCACACAGCCCACGACTCCATCTCACACAGCCCACGACTCCATCCCACACAGCCCACGACTTCATCTCACACAGCCCACGACTCCATCCCACACAGCCCACGACTCCATCCCACACAGCCCACGACTTCATCTCACACAGCCCACGACTCCATCCCACACAGCCCACGACTCCATCTCACACAGCCCACGACTCCATCCCACACAGCCCACGACTCCATCTCACACAGCCCGCGACTCCATCTCACACAGCCCACGACTCCATCCCACACAGCCCGCGACTCCATCTCACACAGCCCGCGACTCCATCTCACACAGCCCACGACTCCATCTCACACAGCCCACGACTCCATCTCACACAGCCCACGACTCCATCTC